GGAGCCTCTTAAAAAAGAAGTTACAGGTCTGTGAAAGCCAGAAATCTTGCTTGTTTGTAGGTGACCAAATACTTATTTTCCACCATCATTTGCAAATAAATTCATAAAAAATCCTACAATGTGATTTCTGGATTTTTTTTCCTCAATTTGTCTGTCATAGTTGACATGTACCTATGATGAAAATTACAGGCCTCTCTCATCTTTTTAAGTGGGAGAACTTGCACAATTGGTGGCTGACTAAATACTTTTTTTCCCCACTGTATGTGTAAATATTTCATTTGAAAGATGATTATTTTAAAGAACCCTTGGCTGTTATGTTCACCCAAAATGTCCATCATTTGAAAAGGGAGGATTTGATTTTGCCTTCTGTGGATGTCACGAATTCAGCCGAGGCTGCCCCTCCTCCTTGCTCGGGCAGGCTTCGGCGTTCGTCGTCACCGGAGTACTAGCTGCCACGATCTATGTTTCTGTGTTCTACTTGTTTTGTCTTTATTGTACACACCTGGTTCCCATTATGTTCATGATTTATTCCCTAGTTAACCCTCTGGCTCCCACTGTGTTGTGGGCGTGTTTGTTCTATGTTTGGTGTCATAGACTGGTGAGCGGGAATTGTCCTCCCTGCGTGGAGATTATGTTCATTTATTTTCACGAGTAAAGTACGTTGTCTACTAGCTCTGTGTCCTGCGCCTGACTACGTCCTACCACTACACACTGACGCCTGACAGTGGACGAGTGTAGGAGTAAAATGAACTACCTACTGAAGGACCTGCTGCTTCTCTTTCCTCCATACTCAATAGCAAAGAGTAAGTAAGAACTATTCCTGATTTCTACAGACAGATAGCTTCGGGAATGTCACACTTAGTCCACCAGACTAACTTTTGCCACCATTGTGACATTGGCAAAGAGTGACTATAGTGGAGTGTGAACCATGCTCATGTGATGAGTAACATCCTGAGACCTGAAGATTTGCTTTGGCTAGCTTTAGCTCAGCAGGCTAACATAATATTGTGGTCTCTCAATTTACAACTCTACTGATAGATAGTTTTGGGAATTTTTCATTCAGGGCACCAGACCAAACTGTCAACATGGCTAACCTTGGTAGTAGAGCTGCTGAATTCCCCCTGTAGGACCGCCGGGAGATGTGACTTCGCCTGAACTCTTCCACTTGTCTGGCTGCCCCCCCTGCTCAAAACCTCTGTTGGCTTTGCGATTTGCTGAGAAGATAAGATATCTACAGTGCATTCAGAAAGTATTCAGACCACTTTCCATTTTCCAAATTTTGTTACTTTACAGCCTTATTCTAAAATGGATTAAATAGTTTTCCCCCCTAATCAAATGTATAAAAATGTATAAAAAAATGTATTTAAAAAAAAGAAACAGAAATGTATTTTAAAACCCCCCCAGAAATATCACATTTACATAAGTATTCAGACCCTTTACTCAGTACTTTGTTGAAGCACCTTTGGCAGTGATTACACCCTCGAGTCTTCTTGGGTATGACGCTACAAGATTGGCACATCTGTATCTGGGGAGTTTCTGCCATTCTTCTCTTTAGATCCTCTCAAGCTCTGTCAGGTTGGATGGGGAGCGTCACCACACAGCTATTTTCATGTCTCTCCAGAAATGTTAGATCGGGTTCAAGTCCGGGCTCTGGCTGGGCCACTCAAGGACATTCAGAGACTTGTCCCGAAGCCACTCCTGCATGGTCTTGGCTGTGTGCTTAGGGTTGTTGTCCTGTTGGAAGGTGAACCTTCGCCCCAGTCTGAGGTCCTGAGCGCTCTGGAGCAGGTTTTCATCAAGGATCTCTCTGTACTTTGCTCCGTTCATATTTCTCTCGATCCTGACTAGTCTTGCAGTCCCTGCCGCTGAAGCACATCCCCACAGCATGATGCTGCCACCACCTTGCTTCACTGTAGGGATGGTGCCAGGGTTCCTCCAGACGTGACGCTTGGCATTCAGGCCAAAGAGTTCAATCTTGGTTTCATCAGACCAGAGAATCTTGTTTTTCATGGTCTGAGAGTCTTTAGGTGCCTTTTGGCAAACTTCAAGTGGGCTGTCATGTGCTTTTTACTGAGGAGTGGCTTCCGTCTGGCCACTCACCATAAAGGCCTGATTGGTGTAGTGCTGCAGAGATGGTTGTCCTTCTGGAAGGTTCTCCCATCTCCACAGAGGAACACTGGAGCTCTGTCAGAGTGACCATCGGGTTCTTGGTCACCTCCCTGACCAAGGCCCTTCTTCCTCGATTGCTCAGTTTGGCCGAGCGGCCAGCTCTAGGAAGAGTCTTGGTGGTTCCAAACTTCTTCCATTTCAGAATGATGGAGGCCACTGTTCTTGGGGACCTTCAATGCTGCAGAAATGTTTTGGTACCCTTCCCCAGATCTGTGCCTCGACACAATCCTGTCTCGGAGCTCTACGGACAATTCCTTCAACCTCATGGCTTGGTTTTTGCTCTGACATGCACTGTCAACTGTGGGACCTTATACAGACAGGTGTGTGCCTTTCCAAATCATATCCAATCAATTGAATTTACCATAGGTGGACTCCAATTAAGTTGTAGAAACATCTCAAGGATGATAAATGGAAACGGGATGCACCTGAGGTCAATTTCGAGTCTCATAGCAAAGGATCTGAATACTTACTTATTGTGTTTAGATTGATGAGGAAAACATTTAATTTAATCAATTTTAGAATAAGGCTGTAACGTAACAAAATGTGGAAAAAGTAAAGGGGTCTGAATACTTTCCGAATGCACTGTACGTTTCTCAATCCTGGTCCTTGAGTACCCGAAAGGTTGCACAATTAACTTATTCTGTTTTACCCCATTTTAATTGTTCCAACCACTCAACTTATCATCAAGCCCTTGATTAGTTCGGGGGAGAAACAATGTTCCAACTTACAGTATTTGAAAGGACTGTGTAGTGAAGAGCAAAGATGGAGGCCTAATGATGCTTAGATGAAGCTTCGATACACGGTTGGTCACATACACAACAATATACTCAAAATTACCATTGCATTCCCATGATCATTATTAGTAAAATGTTCTCATTTTCACCTAAGGCTCACTTCTGAGAATACACTCTGGCCTAGAAAGCCCAAACCTTCGGGGCACCACCGCTGAAAACATTACACAATTTGCAGCTTCAACCCGAGTCATATAGGTGTCTGATCTTTCTCTTACTCGCTGCTTTCTATTGTGTGTGTAGAACACAGTGAAAAACACCAATGCATTGATATTTCTTTCCCTTTCTCTCAGCATTTTTTCGGGAAACCAGGTCATCGAATCTATGAATTATAGATCCCCCTCCACGACAAACTCCGGCACTGGCAACATTGCGCAGCTTTCTTTTTCCTCCTTCTGTTGAACACTTCTGTTCGGGATTTAGCGTGCCTTGTGCTTCGCAAGCATCTTTGTAAAGTGTTGTTCTATTAAGTCAACTCTTGGTTCAAAACACAGGTTCATTGGGAGGGAGGAGACGCATCGTCTTCTCATTTCGTGTCACACTCGAGTCAGGGCTCTCATCCTAAAAGCACTAGCGGCAGGTGCTCCATACATATCCCATGCAACCACCAAAGTGCTCAATCAATAATGAAAATACTCTGATTGGCTCCACTGAGGAGAACGCTGGGGTTTTGAAATGGAAGGTGAAACATGAGCTAGAGTAAAAGGGGCGACGATTGCACTATGGCACTCCATTCACTATTCAGCACTACATTCACTTTCCAGCACTCCATCCATCCAACGCTCCCATTTTCTCTTCCATTCATCTTTAAAAAACCTTACTTTGAACTATTTCACTGGCCCATTTGTCTTCCCCTCCTTGTAGGATGCCTCTCCTGTTTGATCTTTCCTCTCCTTTCTCTCAGGCACTCATTAAAAAAAAAATCTCTCTCCTTCCCCATCTCCAACCAAACCTTGCTCCTCCTCCTGGACCTCAATGACGTGCATGTGTGTGTCTGCTACCAATTGCATGTGTGAGTGGGTGTCGCGCTCTCAGTTCCTCCACTTTTTACATCTGCGGTCAAACCATATGGAGAGAGGTGAGGTAATGGGACCTACATTGGGTGGCTGGAGGCTGCAGGAGAGCCATCTGGGACATAGGCCTACTGTTGTAGTCAGGCTGGGATGACAACTGTAGACATCCCCACCAAACCACAGGCTATTGTCCCTAAGGGATGGGAGTGTTCTCGATCTGCCATAAATAATGGCTCATCTGTTGGACACAATGGGAGTATGTTGCCTTAATTGGACATGAGAGTTAAACTTGTATTCAGGGTTTTCATAAGAGACTAGTTTGGTTGTGCAGGGTTTTAGGAAAATACTATGCTCTGATTTCTCAACAAACTAAATGTTCCAATATGTTAAGTCTAACCAAAGAGGAATAAAAACAAATATAGTGCGGTTAATATCATGTGAATTCTAAAGTACAAGACGCAAGGTTGCCAGCTATTTGCACTTGGATCAAAATTTCACTTGTGCCACCTTGCCATAAGAGCTGGTAGGCCTACTCGGGTACAAGAGACCTCTGAGCCAAATACTTTAGTCCATTAATTATTCAAAAGGTTCATATGGGTGATTCTTGTGGACACTGAAGGCCCATCTGGGTCTAATAAGACACGAGTGTGCTACACTCCAGAACACCTGCTTCCATCCAGCCATCACTTTTGCTAGATCCTTTAGCTGTTTTGAATAATGGCCTGACCAATAAAAAAGGAAGGCACATATGCTACTATGCAGATTCCCAATTGTGCCTAATATGTGATCCCTGTACAAGTGTTACCCATAATTCAATACTCCAAATGACTGCATGGCACTTATCAAACAGTGTGGCACTGATTATACTATTTTGTCAAGAATGTCAACTAACCAGTTCATCAGGGACATACCATAGGCTGTATGTTTAAGACATAACATTTTCTGTCCGCAAAACAGCACCCAACTATACAAAAAAATACCTTAATACTCAAACGTTGTCACTGGAATTAAATGACACTTGAGTCCATTTAGTTTTTTCAACATCCTACATTTATTAAAAAAGCAAACCATTTGTCCCGTCTTTAACAATACATCTTACAAAGAAAGAAAGGCATACAAAACAACAGGCTGTATTCTAGCAGCATCCAAACGTTGGACTTCCCAGAAATAACCCTTTATATGTATATAGTATTTATATCTTATCTCTTGCCAACTATACAGATATTGCCAATAAGGAGCCATTAATCTTTTTTAGTGCAGAAAGGAACAAAATACTCAATATTAAAATAAACAATTTGGAGGGTAAATTTAAATAAGAGTGTTAAATACAAGACACTTTCTCTGAAGTACTGTACAAAGACCATCAAACACATTTTGGCATTGAAAATACATAATTCGTACACTTGGTGGTACCTTGTGTACCTACAAGTTCAGGGTCAACTGCATAAGAATACATTTCTCTGTGGCAAAAAAAAAAGGGTAATAACATCATGGTAGACATCATTAGTGAGAGTAGTGGACAAGGCGTGGGGTTGGAAAAGGATGAGGGACTACAACAACAGAAAAGACTACAGTATCCATACACCACTGGTTAAAGTCAGGCACGTTTTTGTTCCTGCAAAATAAACACGTCTCGACAACACCACAATCAGTGCTAACCATTAATAACAGTTTTGTGACTATCACCATATTTATTGCTAGGACAATTTCTATTTTTTTGTTCAAAACAGTGGAGTACTTTACAAAACTTACTAAAGATTAGCTTTTTTTATACAAGAACCTTGTAACACCTTAATTATTTCCTGGTTGTTTTATAATGCATTTAATGTCAAGGTAAAGTTTAGTAATTTTATTTGGGTGAACTTTTTTTAAATTGTTGTTTACTGAGGGAACTCATAAGTTTTACGCTTGCCTTTTTCGGCAAAATAATATAGATTTCACATAAGTTACATTCATTTGTTTTTAATTCACATGTTCCTTCCTCTCCGCAAATAGCCAAAAACATGAGGTCTGCTACATTCTTCCCTTCCTCCCCTTTATCTTAACCTTCTATAAATGTATCGCTTTACCCTCCCCCCGGCCCCTTGGATATTTACACTAATTAATGTTGTTTTGCTTTCAAAACAATGCAACTAGCATTAGCACGCTAACTCGCAACTTCTCGCTCTCATGCGATGGCTATTCACTTTGAATCACTTCAGACTACGTCCCTCTTGACATGCCACTGGCTCAGGTAATGTGGAGTTAACGGCCATGTTGCAGTGTGTGTGTATGTGTCAGTGTTTTTTTTTGCTCAGGGCTTCTTGTTGTCGACCGAGTGTAGGAACCATTCGCTGAACCTCCTGAGCTGGGCGGCTGCCATTTGGCTCTCCTCGTGCAGACGCATGTTGTCCTGACGCAAGTGCTGGACCTGCTCCTGCAACATGGCCTTGTCCTCTTGCTCCTGTGGAGAGGGAACACACACACTTCGCTTATTACGCAACCTGGCATGACGGCATTGGCTATACATATGATCACCATTTGGCACAGTGGACAACATTTGGCTTCATTATGACATAATTGTCTGGTTGTACATTGGTTTTCTGAATGATAATACATAATATAACCAGATTAAAACCAACTGGTCTCTGTTACAACCAGGTAAAGATGTATATTATATGACAATGTCAACACATCATGGGAAAGCAATCATTTTCTGGTTGTTTATCTGGTCAGATAAATACATTTTTCTGGTTGCTGAAAAGACTGACAAAACGTCCTTTTACAATCAGTATACAACCTGAACATGACAACTGGTTTTGCCTGCTGGGGTTGTATGATTTACAAAATACACCAACAGAGAAGCGTACATTTTAGAACAGCAGCTAACTGTACAGACCATTCTAGTACATCATAGTAGTATACTGATTAATGTGTTAGCTGCACATCCCTTTGGATAAAAGTCATCTGCTAAATGACCATGTTATTATTGTTATACATGCTAAGTGGTTCTCTGGACACGTCACCGATATGCTTCGGGGAGTTGACTTTACCTTTTGTAGGTCGAACTGAAGCTGTCTGAGGATCTCTTCCAGTTGGATGACTTTGCCCGTGAGCAGAGCAGGAGAGCCATCCCTATATAGAGATAGAGACAGGCTTCTTTAAGTTTTGCAAGTCTATAGACCAGTCTATAGAAATTGACCTCTTTGTTATGTCGGTCTTTGATGGTATATGCTTTTATACACTAATTTACCACCTGGTGATGTCACCAGGCAGGCCAAAACTCCATCCTACCAAAACAGGCTGACATTTTAGGAAGTCTTTCAAATTGCTCTTACACTAGAAGGGCATTATCATAATTTTCACAATTTCACATTATTACGCCAACCTCAGTATGAAAAAATAAATAAATACACACACACAGAGAGAGAGGAAAATCACATTTTTGACTGCACTGGGCCTTTAATTATAATATTTTGATAATATAAGTTATTCCTTTAGAGGAGGATGAACAATGTTTCGGCATTCAGTCAGTAAGTAGTGTTCAACATACGTATATGTAAGACCTTCAATAACTAAATCCCCTTCTCTGCCAAGTCAAGCTCCTTTAACTGCCTGCCCCACCCAAAGGCACAGTACACCTACCCTGCCTCCAAGGTGGCGGCCTCCGACGCAGCCACCCTCCGACTCAGCTCATGGGACAGCTCCATGGCCTGCTGGGCCTGCTCCACGTCCAACATGGAGCAGAGTGAACCCTGGTCTGCTGCTAAAGAAACACACAATACTATTAAAGCTGCAATATGTAACTTTTGGGCGGTAGATCTGTTCTATGTGCACTATTTCTATGCTTCCCATTCTTAAGTTTTGTTTTTTGCAACTTTTACTGTGTTTTGTACACCAGCTTCAAACAACTGAAAATGTACTGAACAAAAATATATATACGCAACATGCAACAATTTCAAAGATTTGACTCAGTTACAGTTCATATAAGGAAATCAATCAACTGAAAAATTTTTATTAGGTCCTAATCGATGGATTTCACATGACTGGGAATACAGATATGCATCTGTTGGTCACAGATACCTTTAAAAAAAAATTAGGGGCGTGGATTAGAAAACCAGTCCGTGACCACCATTCGCCTCATGCAGTGCGACACATCTCCGTCGCATAGAGTTGATCAGGCTGTTGATTTTGGCCTGTGGAATGTTGTCCCACTCCTTTTCAATGGCTGTGCAAAGTTGCTGGATATTGGCGGGAACTGGAACATGCTGTCGTACACATTGATCCAGAGCATCCCAAACATGCTCAATGGGTGACATGTCTGGTGAGTATGGAGGCCATGGAAGAACTAGGACATTTTCAGCTTCCAGGAATTGTGTACAGATCCTTGCGACATGGGGCCGTGCATTATCATGCTGAAACATGAGGTGATGGTGGCGGATGAATGGCACGACAATGGGCCTCAGGATCTCGTCACGGTATCTCTGTGCATTCAAATTGCCATTGATAAAATGCAATTGTGTTGGTTGTCTGTAGCTTATGCCTGCCCATTCCATAACCTCACTGCCACCATGGGGCTCTCTGTTCACAACGTTGACATCAGCAAACCGCTCGTCCACCCGACGCCATACACGTGGTCTGTGGTTGTGAGGCTGGTTGGAGGTACTGCCAAATTCTCTAAAACGACGTTGGAGGCGGCTTATGGTACCGAAATGCACATTCTATTCTCTGGCAACAGCTCTGGTGTACATTCTTTAACTCATCATGCCAATTGCACACTCCCTCAAAACTTGAGACATCTGTGGCATTGTGTTGTGTGACAAAAAATTCACATTTTAGAGTAGCCTTTTATTGACCACAGCACAAGGTGCACCTGTGTAACGACCATGCTGTTCAATCAGCTTCTTGATATGCCACACCTGTCAGGTGGATGGATTATCTTGGCAAAGGAGAAATGCTCACTAACAGGGTTGTAACCAAATTTGTGCACCAAATTTGACAGAAATACACATTTTGTGCATCTGGAAAATTTCTGGGATCTTTTATTTCAGCTCTTGAAACATGGGACCAACACTTTACATGTTGCGTTTATATTTTTGTTCAGTGTACAATATTTTTGGTTATGGAAAATAGATTTCACAGCGGTTTAGATGGTACAATGATTCTCTACACTACACTTGCTTGTTTTGTCACAAACTGAAATTAGGCGAACTATTAGAATTTTAGCAACCAGGAAATGGCAGAGCGATTTTTGCATAGTGCATCTTTAAATACCATGACACACATCTCGACTAAGATAGTCCCTAACTGCTTGGAAATGCCAGATTAGAAGAGCAGTTTAAATCAGGCGTGTTAGTGCTAGGCTGGAACAAAAGTTAGCAGGAGAAAACATCACAATAGAAGTAGTGGTTGAGGGTAACACTAGGCAGCTAGTAGTAGAAGGTGGTGGTAGTAATAGTGGTGGTGGTAGTAGTAACCACTGTAGTGTTACAGAAGCATTAGCTGTTGTAGTAGTAGCTGTGGTAGTATTAACAGAAATGCTAGTAGAAACCCTAATTTGATTTCATACTAAATAAAATGGTAGTAGTTGTAGAGGTTCCATAGCAGTAATAGCAAAAGCACCAATGGCAGTAAAGGTGAAAGAAGCTCTAATGGCAGTAACTAACTAGAGTGGTAGTAAAAGTAATTCCAATAAAGAGGAGAAGACAAAAAAGAGTAAAGAGAACCCAGTGCTTTGTTGAGCAAAATGTCAAGGTCACCTAGTGATTCTTTCTGACTGTCTTTATCACACAGGCGATTGGCATCCTTGTCGAGCTCCAGACCTGAAAACACGAGAGGAGACAGCACATCCCTCAGATACAGTTCAGCTACCCACACTGTGTATAGTGCACTTTCAGTGCAAATAAGCTACAGTAGCTCTTAAATGCTCCAAAAGCAATGTACTAAGGAAAGGCACATTCTGGCGCAGCCCTTTTAAGCAGTCCATTCTTGCAACCATGGAGGTGGAGAGAATGATGTAGAGTAGAATGGATCCTGTGAAAGTGCTATAGTTAGCTGCCATCCCTAAACCTTTGCCATGGTCTATTCTAAAAGCAACAATTATGGCGCTACGGTGCTTTGAAAAAGTATTTGCCCCCTTTCTAATTTTTGCTACTTTTGCGTATTTTTGATACTGATCTTCAACCAAAACCTAATAGATAAAGGTTGAAGATCTGATAACATTCAGTATCAACAATATGCAAAAATAGAGAAAATCAGAAAGGGGGCAAATACTTTTTCATGGCACTGTATATAACAACTGGATCCACTCTCTCTGTGGGTGAAGAGGGTCGCACGTGCAGGTGGTGGGTTAAATATGAGAGCTAACTGGATTTCACACAGTTAAGGCCCCACAGTATAATATACATTAACTTCCGAAAGTATTCAGACCCCTTGACTTTTTCCACATTTTGTTACATTACAGCCTTATTCTAAAATAGATTAAATAAATAGAAATCCTCAGCAATCTACACACATACCCCATAATGACACAGCGAAAACAGGTTAAAAATAAATAAATAAATACCTTATTTACATAAGTATTCAGACTCTTTGCTATGAGACTCGAAATTGAGCTCAGGTGCATCCTGTTTCCATTAATCATCCTTGAGATGTTTCTACAACTTGATTGGAATCCACCTGTGGTAATTAAATTGATTGGACATGATTTGGAAAGGCACACACCTGTCTATATAAGGTCCCACAGTTGACAGCACATGTCATAGCAAACACCAAGCCATGAGGTCGAAGGAATTGTCCGTAGAGCTCCGAGACAGGATTGTGTCGAGGCACAGATCTGGGGAAGGGTAACAAAAAATGTCTGCAGCATTGAAGGTCCCCAAGAACACAGTGGTCTCCATCATTCTTAAATGGAAGAAGTTTGGAACCACCAAGACTCTTCCTAGAGCTGGACGCCCGGCCAAACTGAGCAATCAGGGGAGAAAGGCCTTGGTCAGGGAGGTGACCAAAAACCCGATGGTCACACTGACAGAGCTCTAGAGTTCCTCTGTGGAGATGGGAGAACCTTCCAGAAGGACAACCATCTCTGCAGTACTCCATCAATCAGGCCTTTATGGTAGAGTGGCGAGACGGAAGCCAGTCCTCAGTAAAAGGCACATGACAGCCCACTTGCTGTTTGCCAAAAGGCACCTAAAGACTCTCAGACCATGAGAAACAAGATTGTCTGGTCTGATGAAACAAAGATTGAACTCTTTGGCCTGAATGCCAAGCGTCACGTCTGGAGGAACCCTGGCACCATCCCTACGGTGAAGTAAGGTGGTGGCAGCATCATAATGTGGGATTGTTTTTCAGCGGCAGGGACTGGGAGACTAGTCCGGATTGAGGCAAAAATGAACTGAGCACAGTACAGAGAGATCCTTGACGAAAACCTGCTCCAGAGCACTCAGGACCTCAGACTGAGGCGAACATTCACCTTCCAACAGGTCAACGACCCTAAGCACACAGCCAAGACAACGCAGGAGTGGCTTCGGGACAAGTCTCTGAATGTCCTTGAGGGGCCCAGCCAGAGCCCGGACTTGAAAACGATTGAATATCTCTGGAGAGACCTGAAAACAGCTGTGCAGCGACGCTCCCCATCCAACCTGACAGAGCTTGAGAGGATCTGCAGAGAAGAATGGGAGAAACTCCCCAAATACAGGTGTGCCAAGCTTGTAGCGTCATACCCAAGAAGACTCTAGGGTGTAATTGCTGCCAAAGGTGCGTCAACAAAATACTGAGTAAAGGGTCTGAATACTTATGTAAATATGATTTTTTATTTTTTTTATTTTTAATAAATTAGCAAAAATGTCCAAAAACCTGTTTTTGCTATGTCATTATGGGGTATTGTGTGTAGATTGATGAGGAAAAATAACTATTTAATAAATTTTAGAATAACGCCGTAACCTAACAAAATGTCAAGGGGTCTGAATACTTTCCGAAGGCACTGTAAGCCAGTGATTCTCAACTCCAGCTGTAAAGACCCACATGACTGCACCTTTTTGTTCTAGCCCAACACTAACACACTTGATTCAACAACTCAAACAGCCCATGTTTAGTTGAATCAAGTGCGTTAGCACTGGGCTAGAACAATAAAGTGCAGTCCAATGGGTTGCCGAGTTGAGAAACACTAGAAGCCAGTCCCCTTCCGTAGTAACCGACACGGCACAGCACACTATTGTTACCTTCCAGATAGAGAGCATAGGACAATTCTGGATAGGGAAGAAAACAAGAAAGGGGGGGATTGTGAGAAGTCAGAACAGCCTAGCAGATGTCCGAGCCGGCATCACATATCCCTTTAGAAAGCTGGGGGTCTTAGTGAGGAAATGTAGGTTAAGTTTCTAGCGAAAGAGCAGCACCCCCCCCCCACCCCACCTCCACATGCGTCTATCTTCTCAATAGTTGGACAGTGTTGAGAGGTGACGTGGGTTTGGAATGTGGTATTTGAGGACAGAAAGGAGGGAGAAGGGGAAAGAGATGGGAGCCGTTCTTGCTAAGATTGTTCTCGCTAAGGAGTGAGAAAAGGGGGAGCGCGAGAGAGGGAAGAGAGATGAAAGGGGTTCTCAGTAAAGATAAGTGTCTCACTGAAGAGCGAGAGATTGAAGCTGTGAAAATCTCACCCATAATTTCACACATCTCTCTCTTTCTCCCTTTTAACAATCCCTCTCTGTTCTAATTGACAGTCTCAACATTGACTTAACGTTGACTGAAGTAAATCACAGGTGAAGTGATTATCATAGTGGAAAACAAAGAATACAAAGGAGGACAAGGAAGAAAGTAAAAGAGGGAGATCTTCACTTTTCCTTTAGAAAAAGCACTAGCCTATATTGAGATGGAAACAACTAAAACAACATCCCATGACATTTTCTGTAATGTTCAATATGGAAAAAACTAACGGTCTAAGATAAAACTTGAGGTTAAGTTATCATTGATAAATATGAATCACAACTGAACAATGAGACGCGCAAGGAGAGAGGAATGTCTGTGTTGTCTGTTCTGCTGCACTCTTGGCTGTGAATGTGAACCATTTGTCCTGTTCTAGTATGCGTGGGTCTACGGAAACAGAAATAATGCTCGCTAGTCGCTACTAATGCTCACCCCGCCCTTTGCCCCCCAGGCATTTCTAATGAGGACTAGCATGCTAGTGTTTCTGCGTGCTTAGCAACACTGCCTTTAGAGCACACAGCGAGCACCACAAAACAAAATAAGTCAACTAAACGACACGGCAAGCCTGGGCTAATAAATGCCAGGGTCAGCACTCCCACGACTCTCCAAGCAAATTAGTTCCCCCTCTTTTCTCTGTTGTTGACATGTATGCAAATCGAAGGCTGCTGTGCAGCCCGATGCTAGTCAATGGCGTACCCGGCCCCACCCCTCGCTGCTCAGGGTGAAAGAAATGTGGTCACCGGTTCCAACCTATCCAGTCTATAAACATCAGTTGGTCACGAAGGAAGCAGAAGCCATTTGCAGAAAAAAAAGAAAAGAAAAAAAAATCGGGAGTATATCACCCTGTTGCTCACCACATCATTCCAGGTTACCAGAAAAACACTCCAGAGGTAGCGAAGCTATAACTGCCAGAGAAAGTGTGCAAGCAAGGGGTGCAATTACGGCGCGAGGCGGCGTTGAATCATTTGGCAAAATGGTTCCTTGCTGTGCGCTCCATTGTGATAATGCTTCATTTCTCAAGACCAAAAATACGCTCTCTCTCCTTCCACTTCCTGCTAATTAGCACCTCGAGGTAGACAGACTGAGTTCAAGGCAGACACAGATAATGGGAGAGACTGAAGATTTTAACTGGGTCAAGATGATATTGAGGGTCAATCTTAATTCATGTCCAGTCGCTTCAGCAAATGAATTTGGCAGACTTTAATTGGACGACAGACAATGAATTCACATCTGAACATTACGAGAAAAGAAAAACAACTTTTATAATGGTCTTTTCGCATTTTGAATTTCACACCAAATTAGATACCTAAATTGACCAGAATGGGAAAAAAAACATTGAGTACAATTTAGACACTGAACAAAAGGGTAACAGTTCAAGCTCTGAAAGCCTGATGAGAACTGGGGACAAAAGACTTGACAGCCTTTGACAGTATGACACCTGACAGGGACCTTGGTAGCAGCAAATGTTAATCAGGTACCACTTACACCTAGCTAACATTTCTGCATTCCCAGAACATTTCTGGTAGGTTAGGGAACAATGTTTCTGGTAGGTTAGAGGATAACATTCCCATAACCTTTGTTGGTCCAGCTTTTAAGTGCTTTAAGAAAGTCAGTCAAAAGGATGTTCCTTGAATGTTGAGTTACAACAGATAACCTTTTCCTTTTGACATTGTTCAAACGCATCTAAGCTTTAGGGAGCATCAAAAGATCAAACAGTGAATAAGCACTCCATTTTGTTTAATGCCATGCGGGAGTATGATGAATCTAGATGTTGTCCTTACCTTCAAAAGCCCTTGCGGCATCAACAAGATGGGACCAGTCCAGGCCAGACACTGCTTCCGGGAGGGGCATCAGGCTGCCATCGGCCATTTTGCAGCGGTCGGCCAGGGAGCTGTCAGAGAACCACAGCTCATCTGTAGAGATGAGACATTTTGGTTTAGATAAGTGACCGACAGGCTCACCGATTTGGGTGAAGGGAACAGTTGGTGCTCCCTCCCTCTTCCCTCCCTCCTTTCTTTCCTCCTCCTTCCCGCTCTCACTCTCCCTCCCGATAATGAGACATCAGTGCTCATCCATTCTCCACTTGGAACACCTGCTCCTATGTTAAGCCCAGACTGCTTGCAGATTTAGAAAGTAATTTCAGGGTTTTAGGTTTCAAAGTCAGTAAAAACACAAAATAAAAAAATGAAAGATGGGCACTTTCCACCAAAGCGTAAGACAAACATCTCACAGAGGTATCCATACAACTTGTATCACCTTAACATACATTTTTAAGAGGCATCTGCAATTCCCCTTGAAGCAAATACCATTCAGCCTGTTCAATTTGCACCAAATTGACTGTGCGAGACAACCCCCCCCACACACAAAATGTGAAAAAAATGCAAAACGAGTACATACTCAAATTGCAGTCCTGCTTGGAAAACTGCCAAGAACACAGTTATTATTTTTTTTTAACCCAATGTCACAGTCTGCTGTTGAAAGCTGATTAGAGGACGGAGAGGAAGGGGGAGCTTCCCCCCACCAGACAGACAATTAACCTGCATCTAGGGGATGCCCACAGAGGTCAGCTTTGGCGAACAGACACACACAAACCTAGGCACACAAATATGTGCATAGAAACACACACACACACACACGAGTACGCACACACACACACACGCACAGGCTTTCAGTCATTTGCACAGCTGGAGGTTCATGATCCTTCATTCTGGCTTCTGATCGCAGACAGCACAGCACAGCCCCCCGGCAGAGTTAAAGGTGATCTGAATAAGACACAGCAATCACATATCCACACACACACACCTCCACGGCTTGTGATAATGAGCTGAAAGCAGTGGATTTGTGATTGTTGGCTGGCTAACCCTTTGAGTGGTGATTTTTTGAGGGGGAACATTCGCCTCAGTGGTCCATTCCGGAATTCTCACGTTTTGACATGTGATCGCTGGAGACACCTATTACAGTGTTATGTAAATGTTGGGGGGGGGGGGGGGGGGGCAGCCCCTTTGTGTCATTGTGAAATACATCCAGTGGTTAGAATGTTTCAACAAAGAACGCAAGGAGGACCGACAGTGAAAGTGTTAATATCTTGCATACTCAATTACCACATACTGGGATACATAGCACATACTGGGATGTTTTCCCAGTGGAAAAGATCCAATATCTTGCTGTGTTTCTTAAAAACAGACAGCTTTTTAAAATAGGTTTGCATCAATTTAACACCTACGAATTCTCACCTAATACAAGACAGATGGGAAATTGAAAATGGCATATGCTGTAGCTTTTACGATAGGTCTCGTAAAGTTCAGCTTCAGACTGGCAAGGGCGTTTGCATTTAATTGACCACAATGAGCTCACAGTTAGATATTTTTTATTCCTATGGCCCACTCCTTAATTTAAAACTCAAAATGGCTGCCCCGCCACTTTGTTTACTATAAAGCCCTGTGTAGCTCAGTTGGTAGAGCATAGCGCTTGCAACACCAGGGTTGTGGATTCGATTCCCATGGGGGGCCAGTATGAAAAAAATATATATATATATTTAAAAAATGTATGCACTCACTCTTATCTCTGGATAAGAGCGTCTGCTAAATGACTAAAATGTAAATGTAAAATAAAGCTGAGGAATGGGGCTGGAGAAATATAAAAGTGACTGTAAATATCACAGAGTGGGCTTTTCAGGAGTAGATGAATGCAGCTGTCCACTCAGCACCATTTGACTTGTTACTACACCTCAGGAGCATTCCATCTTTGGTAGATACATTAATGGACGACTGATTTCGTAACACGCGTTCCATTCCTAATTGAACTCCAAGGTTTCACTAATACATAATACATGCAAAGCAGACTTTGGTACTTTAACACTGACTATACAGTTTGGACATGTTTTGATTTTAAGGTAAAAACGGCCTTGAAAAAACTGTATTAGGTGAATCAGGTGGGTTAGAGCAGGACTGGAACAAAAGCGTATACATCCGGCAGCTCTCCAGGAGAAAGGTTGGCCATCCGTATTCCCGCTTAACCATAGAGATACATTAAAGTATCTATTATCTATCTGTTCTATTGAATTATATGCTCACAACCGACAAGACCGACTAGCTAGCCAGCTACCCTAAACATCCGAAACTCTAAACCCTAAACGGGCAGACACTCACTCTTGTGTAGGGGCGCCCCGTGGCTGTGGCCGAGGTTCATGCGAGGTGGCAGGGTGCTGTGGTAGGGCCCAGCGGCGGTGCTGAAAAGGATATCGTTGGGCAGGGCCTGGTCCAGGAGAGAACTTCGGGAGCTGACCAGGGACTTCCTGTGGCTGCTGCACAGGCTCTCGTCTGACAGGGTCCGGTACAGGGACCTCCGCGGGGACATGGGCAGGCCGCCAGGACCAGTCAGACTCTGCGGGAAGGGATGGAGAAAATAAGGGAGGGAAAAAGGGAGACAGAATATTATGATACATTTATCATCTCGGAGGGCTGCACCACGGAAGGGGTGATTCAAGCGCCAACTGGTATGTGCTAAACTGGTTGAATCTATCACAAAATTGGCAAAACAGTAACGTCGGTCTGCCACAGTGCCAAAAATGAGAGTCAATCATTTCCCCTCAATTATCTGATGATAGCTTCCCTGTGCATAGTAGTTGGTATCAATACCATTTTCTTTCTGTCCTGTGATGTCTTTTTCAATCAGTGAACAAAGAGGTCTGAAGAGCAGCTTGCTAGCTCCCAGATAAAATCCATTTCTATCAACCCCTTCCCATTCCACCTCCACACTTGTTTCCTGGCCACATTGTCTTCTTCTAATTACCCAAGAGCCTTTACATCAAGTGGTGGGGTTTTTCCTGACGCTAGTCGCCCATGGCAGGTGGCATTGAACAGGAGACGTCTAAATGAACCTTTCGACAGGCGGAGGGAAGCTGCACTAGGAAAAGGTTAGCGCGAGTCTGGCGCCTTATAACCCCCCCTTGGTTTTAATTTCAGTTGATTTGAAAACGATGCCAGCCTTGATTTTTAATATCACAACCAATCTGAATGGATTATGTCAAGCGGAGGAAGGAGCCGACTGAAGGAGGGAGGGAAATTAAAGCGAGACACTCGTTGTCAGAGGAGGAAAAGGGGAACACTACATTAGAGAATCGTGTCGGCGCTATTTGTTACATTTCTATCTGCAACGTTTCAAACATTTCCCTTCACTGAACACAGCCCAGACAGTATGCGAATGAACCAGAGAGTCGTAGTGATAGTGAAGTAGAGTGTGGAGAAAAACTAGCGGGAGCAGCGGCTCACCTTGCCACGTCCCCCTTCCCCGGGGGGACTGTCGGGCAGCATCATCTTTAGGAAGGCCTCTCTGGTCAGGCTGGGCTGGACCTTCTGGAGCTGGCCATCTGCAACCAGCATGGCCCGCAGCCTGCTCCCCAGGGGAGGACAAGGGGTGCAATGGGCAGGGGGGGGGACGAAGAGGGGAAACAGAAAAGAGAGTGAAGAGAGAGAGTGAAATAGGGTTGAGCGAGAGAAAGCGATAAATGGTAGAGAATGTAGAGGGAAAAGTGAGGGAAGAGAGAAAGTGAGGTGGAGGAAGAAGGGAAGAAAGAGAGAGAGGGATGAGAAACAGGCAGGGAGAGGATGTAGATGGTGGGAAAAAACAAAGGTAGGAGAATTGAATTAGAGACAAGCTCATCAGTTTCATTGCAGTTTCTTACAAGGGTAGGTGGAAGGCAGTCTCTCCTGAACAAAGAATGTGTCTAAAATAACACCCATTCCTGGTCAGTGCACTACATGTGGAATAGGGGGTCATTTGGGATTTGCCAACAAAGGTGAGGTAGAGGAGGGGGCACAGTGACACGTGTGGGAGAGTAAGGACATTCCTGAAGAAAAGTAAGACCAAACCACAGTAAGATTATGGAAACAAAGCTATCAGAAGTATGACCAGGCAGCACATTACACAGCTCTTTGGGAAGGACAAAATAAGAAAGAAGGATACTACCATAACTACAGTACAGGGTTATTGAAAGTCGAATATCAACACACACACCCCCCAAACAGGGGGCGTAAACTTTTACAATATGCTGTTCGGAGCCAAACTTAATCACAGTTCCTCAACTGGAGGGCATCTAGTTTGGGGAGCAGCCGTTTCCAGGCAAACACACAGAGTGGGGTTGAGGTGTCACAGGAGGCACAGGTTGCATTGTATACAGACACCATGCAAGTGACAAAGTGGGTAACGATTTATTTTACCACCCCATTTCAACCGGACTCTGTCCGATATTTACTAAGAAATGATGCACTTAACTTAAAAAGACTTCCATACAACCAAATGGTGGTTTTAATCTAAAAGAAACAGGTTTCAGTTTTACAATGACATTTCTTAGTAAATACTATGGAAATAGCGGACTGGAAAATAAAGTGTACATCCAGGTTTATTGAACCAAACAGGGTTCTGTAATGCTAGTGTACCTGGATCTCAGTGTAAGAGTCTTTAGTAGGTAAGACAATACGCCTTCCACTCCACTGATGTAGAAAACCCAAAGTGAAAAAAGGAGGGAAATAATGATAAAGTACAAGCATATAGCTGTCAAAATTGCTATGCTACTTAGGAAGAAAATATGGTCACACCTCACATAACATTGGCCTTATAAATACCTTAGTATCTACAGTGCATTCGGAAAGTATTCAGACCCCTTCCCTTATTCCACATTTTGTTACGTTACAGCATTATTCTAAATTTGATTAAATTAATTGTTTCCCTCAATCTACACACAATACCACAAAATGACGAAGTGAAAACTTGTTTTTAGACATTCTTGTAACTGTATTACAACTGAAAGCAGAAATACCTTATTTACATAAGTATTCAGACCCTTTGCTATGAGACTCGAAATTGAGCTCAGGTGCATCCTGCTTCCATTTATCATCTGTGAGATGTTTCTACAGCATGATTGGAGTCCACCTGTGGTCAATTAAATTGATTGGACATGATTTGGAAAGGCACACACTGGTCTATATAAAAGGTCCCACAGTTGACAGTAGATGTCAGAGCAAAAACCAAGCAATGAGGACAAAGGAATTGTCCATAGAGCTCCGAGACAGGATTGTGTCGAGTCACATATCTGGGTAAGGGTACCAAAAAAAGGTCCCCATCATTCTTAAAATGGAAGAAGTTTGGAACCACCAAGACTCTCCCTAGAGCTGTCCGCCCGGCCAAATTGAGCAATCGGGGGAGAAGGGCCTTGGTCAGGGAGGTGACCAAGAACCCGACAGTCACTCTGACAGAGCTCCAGAGTTTCTCTGTGACAATGGGAGAACCTTCCAGAAGGACAACCATCTCTGCAGCGCTCCACCAATTAGGCCTTTATGGTAGAGTTGCCAGATGGAAGCCCATCCTCAGTAAAAGGCACAAGACAGCCCGCTTGGGGTTTGCCAAAAGGCACCTAAAGGACTCTGGCCTTGAGAAACAAGATTCTCTGGTCTGATGAATCCGAGATTGAACTCTTTGCCTGAAGCCAAGTTTTCCGTCGGAGGAAACCTGGACCATCCCTACGGAAAACAGGGGGTGCGCATAGCTGTGGGGATGTTTTTCAGTGGCAGGGGCTGGGGAAAGTCAGGACGAGGGGAAAGATGAACGAGCAAAAATACAGAGGAAACTTGATGAAAACCTGCTCCGGCCTCAGGCCTAGACTGGGGGTAAGGTTTACCTTCCAAAAAAAGGCAAGACCCTAAGCACAGAGCCAAAACAACGAGGGGGTCCCAATTGAATCAACCCCCACAAAAAACCCTTCTTTACCAATAGCTTTTGGGCCCCCATCCCCTTGGGGGCTTTAGTTTTTCCCCGGGAAAAAAGAAAACCCCCTCGTTGGCGGGGGTTTGGACACCAAAAACCCCGCTTTCGCCGTGCCCCAGAACTTTTTAATTTTGGGAGGATGCTGAGGGGGGGTCGTAGGAACACGTCCCCCGGGGTGCCAAGGGGGGGTGACCACTTTAAAAACCCCGGACAAAATGGACACGGTTGGCCAAACGCAAAGATGGTGGCTACAAACCGGACAAAGGACAAAAGGTAAGTTTTCCCCTTTCCAAATCGCCATATTTACAGAAAATCCCAACTTAAGGGCCCTTCAGTTTAAAATTCAAATTAAACTTTTTTGTTTTTCATAAGGGGAAAAAAAAGGGGAAAAATAATACATAAAATTTAATTTTTGGCATTTGAACCTTTATGCAAAGGTGTTTTTAGGGGTATTCACTAAAGTTCCATCTAGCAAAAAAAAGGGAAATTAAAAGGCCAATGGAAAGGAAAAAAAAAACTGCTCATGACCAACAAATTAAAATTTCAATGAAAACCTGGGGGCGCCATTTTATATACACAAAACAAGGGGAAATTCCCCTCTAATTACCAGACCCGGACCCCAACGGGGTTTCTTGATGGCCGGGGGGATTTTAAAAAGTTTTGCCCAACCCATGGGATTAAAGACACAGAAATTCATGCAAACCCTGCCAAAATTACAGGTGTGCCATGCTTGTAGCATCATACCAAAGAAAACTCAAGGCTATAATTTCTGCCAAAAGCTGCTTCAACAAAGTACATTTACATTTTTACATTTTAGTCATTTAGCAGACGCTCTTATCCAGAGCGACTTACAGTTAGTGAATACATTTTTTTTTATACTGGTCCCCGTGGGAATCGAACCCACAACCCTGGCGTTGCAAACGCCATGCTCTATTAACTGAGCTACATCCCTGCCGGCCATTCCCTCCCCAACCCTGGACGACGCTGGGCCAATTGTGCGCCGCCCATGAGTCTCCCGGTCGCGGCCGGCTACGACAGAGCCTGGATTCGAACCAGGATCTCTAGTGGCACAGTTAGCAGTGCCTTAGACCACTGCGCCACTCAGGAGGTTGTACTGAGTAAAGGGTCTGAACACTTATGTTAATGTCATATTTCAGTTTTTAAATTTGCCAAAACTTCGAAAAACCTGTTTTTGTTTTGTCATTATGGGGTATTATGTGTAGATTAATGAGGGAACAAATTATTTAATCCATTTAACAGGTCTGAGTACTTTCCGAATGCACTGTATGTAATAAATCTGTTACTTGTGCTAATTGTTTCTGTATTTACAGGGGTAAGTACACTAACTACTTGTTCTTACATACCTAGCACAAACTACATAATAGTTACATTGAAATAAGGCCAATGTGATGTAAAGTGTGGATGAAAATACTGCTCTACTCTTGTTATCCTCCACCAACCATCAAAATTACAATGAAATCTGTCATGCCATGATATAATACAACAAAACAATGACAACTGTCCACCAATGCTAATGCTACAGCAGCAGCAGGAATCCAAACTTGTTTTGTATTAGCTATGTGCAGTCCCGTCCATCTAAAATGTTATGTTTATTTTGGAGCCACAATGCCCACTACGAGGGCTATTTTGTGAACAGAAAAGATCAGAAAAGGTTGCACTTGCCGAAGGACACTTGACACTAGTTAAATGCCTGAGGACACTGCTTCAATTCCAACTTTTTAATAAGATGCGACATGTGTCAAGAGGATTCTGTCAGAGCATCAGGTCATCAGCGGTTACTTTCAATATGGCTGTCCCCTTTGATCAGAACCTGTCTAAAATGGGGGCCTTTGGTTGGTATGGCTTGCCACATTTTCAACAGGACCAAGGCAGACAGTTTGTCAGCGCGCCATCTTTTTTTCCAGTTAAGTTAACTTAACCAAGAAAGACCCTTGACGTTAGAAGCCTTGCTTGCGAGGGCGACCTGGCCAAAGGTTAGCACGTACGTACTTGTGGCTTCTTTATTAAAATAGGACGATGGGGTTTATTTCAATGGTTTACTTAGAGTCGAGGTTGAAAAATTGTCAGTCTGGGAGGGAGGGAGAAAAAGGACGTGTGGCACTGACAACTATTACTGTGCTATAGAGCATGTTGACAGCACTCTAGGAACAAGTTGTATGTCCAAGTAAGAATATAACCCCACAAAACACTGCTTCTTTACTCACCCATAGTCTTTTGGCCTGCCCGGATCCTCCATTGGAGAGCCATCCTCAGCTTTCTTCCAGCCAATCAGATACTCTTCACCTGGTGATTGGCGGGCATGGACGGGACCATTAAGCCCCGCCCCTGTCGCCGTGCCGCCGGAGACGACTGTGTAGACTTTGGAGGAGTCGACCGAGGTGGAGGTCTTCGGAACACGTTCCGAAGGGCTGCCAGAGTGCCGTGAGCCACTAGGAAAACCGAGACAGAAGCATGTGATCACAGTTGGCCAATTACGTCAAAGATGAGTGGCAACCAAAAATCCAGTACAAGAGGACAAATGTGTAAGATTACTTTAATTCCAAACTCGCCATATTCACAGAAAATCCACATCATTAGTAGAGACCTGCTTACAGTCCTTCAAATCTACCAAGTAAGGTACATTTATTTAAAGTATCTTTCTCTCAAGTGAGAAACCCTGATACAGTATGACATACATTTACATTTTTGTCATTTAGAAGACGCTTTTATGCAAAGCGACTTACAGTACGTGTATTCATCTTAAGATATCCGCATCATAGTCCATAAACAGGTCAAATTATACAGGACAAAATGAAGGCAACAACAAAAACCTGCTCACAGAGGGGTCCAACAATGATGAAAACAGCTACTACCTGTATAGGTACCAGGGTTGGGGTCAGTCCATTTTATATCAGTCAAATCAGGGGATTATCAGGAGGGATAATTCCCCTCCTGAATTGACGGAATTGAACCAAACCCTGCCACCCATATCAGTGGTTCTCCTCACGATGGGCTCGGTGTGATTCTCGGAGCAGGTTTTGATCCCAACTGCTATGACTCCACTAGCCTACTACAGCAGAATTCATGCCAACCCTGCCTATGTGGACAACATAGTGATACGAATTGGGGCATGATGAAACTGCATTGGTGCCGCTGGCAGCGAAGGGCAAATGTGTCACACCTCATTAAATGCTGCATTGTGCACACTGCGGGGGGAGGCAGGATCATGCCATGGCCACAGTGAGCCTGCCACAACATGGCAGACCGGTCGTCACCTTTTAGCCTAATCTTGTTCCCAGACACTTTCGACCCAAATGCACAAAGAGTCTGGTGGACCAACACGCCAACTTGGCCTTTGTTAGCCAATACAGAGAGCCCAGAGAAACTTCCGGTGCATAGGCATTGGCTTAATCTAAAAACCAATCATCTCCCAGAACACTTTCCACGTAACCCTCCCCGTATGCTAGCACATCACAAAAACAGAGGCACGCCTCGAAGTCGTGTGATTCGCTAAAATTAAATGACAAATACTTTACTCAGTAGAGCACTGAGTAAAGTATTAGAATTCTATGGCCACTCCCACTAAGGCCAACTTAGAGTGGTTGATAGCCCAGGCTTATATAGGCTGTGCGCAATAGGTAGAGGAGGAGGGTTACATTTAGTCTGGCCCGGCAGGAAACTGCAGTTTGACTCAGCCTGGCACAGCATGAAAATGAAGACTATATCTGGTCGTATCTGACCCCAAAATGGGGGAACTGGTGTCACCTCTCAGCCTAGCCCGGCAGGAAACTGCAGAGTTGGGCTCATACTGTCTGACCCCAAAATGGAGGGCAGGAAAGTGTATACTCTGTTTCGTTCTGTCTGACCCAAAAATGAAGGACATGAAATGTTGGAAAGGTAACCTTGACTCCAGGCTACTGTGCACAAGCTTAGAGAGGAAGTGCGAGAATAATGGATTGGAAATCTGGTGGGGAGATTCTGTGATGATGACGACATGGTGTTTTTTGCTTAGTTGCTGGCTAAGTAGGTTAGCTGGCTACTTTAGCGTCATTATCGTTGCTGATGTGCCCGGTGTCTATGTGAATGAATAACAAATAGTGCAGGCACAGCCTCGCAACAATGACCTATTTAGCCTTACTCACAGTAGCAGACTAGCCACCTGGAGCACCGAAATGGCTAACACTACATTAGAGAGTTGTGTCAGCTCTATTTATTACATTTCTATCTGCAACGTTCCAAACATTTCCGTTCACTGAACACAGCCCAGACAACATACGAACGAACCAGAGAGTCGTAGTGATAGTGAACCAAGTAGAGTGTGGAGAAAAACTAGCAGGGGCTCCCGTTCACGAGAAGTTGAGCTAGCTATCAAGAGAAGTCCGCGTAGGAAAACTCCCAAATCAACATGGAAAAGTAACACCACCACACTAAAAAAAACGCAAAAAGGTGGGGCTGGAAAGTTAAGGGACAAAAAAGTCCCTTGAGTCAGATGCAGCCGAATGTAGGAAATTAACAGACTTATTCGGTAGTGCTGCTGCTAGAGCCAATGCTAACGTCAACGTGCATGTAGCCCATGCCGAGGAGGACGCCACAGCCCCGGGTCAAAGAGTTCTAGCAGAAGATGAGGACAGCCGACGATTGTGAGCACAAGCAAAAGTCAGTGCAGCCGAAGCGGTAGGATCCAGGGATCAAGGGCAGGGAGGGAGACATGGATAACACAACATCAATATTGGGCAAACTAACTAGGCTAACTATACCAGTAACATGATGCCAGCCAGACAGTTTGTTGATTGATGTACATGCCAGACAGAGTCATTTCAAGCCCTATTCCTCAACTTTGTTAAATAGGAACTACAACATATGATATTTCATATTTTAATCATATTTTTGCTATGTACTTGAACTTTAAAAGTCAGTACACCGCAGCAATTTCTAACTATTTTGACCATAAAGGTGTGATTTCTTTTTCTTTCTTGGGAGTACGCAGCATTACTAGTTATTGTTTATGGCACTCATGAAAAATAATTACTTTTGGGAATGTATATTTAGGAATTCTACATTTTTACATTACATTCAACAGGTTCATGTTTGTTTGAAGCCCTACTATTGACATTAGTCAAATCAAATCAAATTGTATTGGTCGCGCACACATATTAAGCAGATGTTATTGCGGGTGTAGTGAAATGGTTGTAAAGTCAGTCCTTGACACAGCACAGCCGCCTTTTATTAATTCATTTTATGATGATTAATTCTGACTATGAAGCTATTGTTTCCACTATGTTGCTATATTTATAATCTGTAGCTAAAACAACTATGAATTACAACAGAATTTTTGTGCTAAGCTAGAGAAAAGTGTGCTGCTGAGAAACCTGATCCTCCAATTAGGTAGCCAGGCCATATTCTTCTAGAACTCGCTTACTTACCATTCTCTTTACGCGCACATTTCGGGTGTCTTTTTCTTGGTTCACTAGGCTGTCTGTACTACTTTAGACAGAGTGAAGCCAGCGAGCCCTCCCTGAAAAACAGCCAGCCAGTGTTCTATGTCTAGCTATTATACCTTCTCGGTTTTATTCTAGGCTTCAGATGATGGGATGTTGTTCAATCATGACAATTCAGGATGTGTTCTGTAGAACTCTTATAACAGTGTACAGCGCGTGTGTATGTGTGTTCTGTAGCACTCTGAAAATAGTACTGCATTAGTGTACAATAGCTGTGGTGCAGCTAGGTGGTGGTATCAAGGGCTGGTGTGTGTGCGTCGGCGGGGGCGGTGGTGTATCCGTGGGCTGGTTGTGGTGGGCAAGTCTGGGTCAAAGTCCAGGGCAATTGTTTTGTCCTAGGCGGTCCCTGCTTACTCATCATGCCAATGTGTAATGTGTACATGCCTAGAGCAAAAATAACTCACAGCCAATAATGACAGACATTGAAAACAGGGGCAGTTTGACCTCACATTACTTAGCCTGACGATGTGTCATTGGCAGTGGTTGAATTGGAATGAAAAGGGTACCAGTATTGATTACAATTTTACAGTACCAGGGTTCATTTTAGAGTGAATACTCTACAAGAGGGGCCAATAATCAAGCAGAAGAACATTTCAGATGCTGGTACTCTGTATCGGTGAGCCGTGGTCACAATTGAAGCACTGGTCATTGGTCAGACAAGAGGGATCCAGTCAGCCTCTTGGTATAGGGTGAAGTTGCCCCTCGACGTTGATCATGGGTGAGTTCTGCGGTTTCCCCACTAATGGATTGGGGGAGGGGAAGCTGATCCTAGATCTGTACTTAGGGAACTTTATCTTGGAGCTACACCTTACCTGGACATGGAGGAAATCTCGCTCAGGTCGCCCAGGCTCCCGTCCGTTACGTGCCCAGCCGAAGTGGCCTGGGTGCTGTAGCCTTGCGACGTCAACCCTCCTTCCGGCGCCCCCGTCCTGGGGTACTCCAGCACCCACTGCTCCCCTCTGGCATCCTGGGGGACTGGCCGGCCGGCTGAGACCCCCGGTACGCCACCTCCGCTGCAGCCTGGTAGAGGGGGAGGCGGCGGGGGCATGCAAGGCGCCGTGTCGATGCCGCTGTCGGTGGACGCGCCCTTGATGTAGATGAGGCCCAGGGCATCGGGGTCCATGGGGTCCTTGTCGTCGCTGCTGCCGCTGGAGGCGTTGCTGGAGAGCGTGTTGCTGCTGGAGTGGCTGGAGCCAGACTGGGAGAAGAGATGGAGATCAAACAACACTAGTTAATGGTTATCGGCATTAATTTGTGTCTGTAAATTTGCGATCAAATCCTTGCTTCCTCCATCCTTGTTTCCTCAGTTCCTCTCAAAGCGCATTGGCGTAAAGGATCCATGAACCCTCCCTCCGACCTCCAATGAGCTTTGAGAGGAATTGAGGAAACAAGGATTCGGCAGCTAGTATACATAGGCTATGTATCCTTACGCCACAATTCAATCAAATCTCAGATAAAAGCGGAAAAACACATTGTGGGTTTATTCACTGTTTCGGAATGTATTGACGTGGATGACGATTATGGCAGCCCCCGCACCTCTCAGATTCAGAGGGGTTGGGTTAAATGCGGAAGACACATTTCAGTTGAATGCATTCAGTTGTACAACTGACTAGGTATCCCCCTTTCCTTTCCCTATTAACCGCTTAAAACTTGAGAATGATGGAATTGGGATCCTGGAAATGTTTGGTACACTTTACAGTGTTCATATTGTTCTATTGTGATTCTTCATTGTTACAATGCATTTACAGCAGTAAATGACCCTAATCCAACAATAAGGTGTGTGGGAAAATGATCAACATACCACTTCGCAGGCCTTTATAGTAACAAAACTGCATTTCAGTTAAAACATACTTTTCTTGTTGCTGGATGATACGCGTTTTGGACTTTAAACCATTCACGTTTTGATTTATTAGAGCATTGAGCTTCCTACTCCTATTAAGAGAGAGCTATATTCATAGTCGACCCGGGTCCCATTTACACTACACCGTAGTCAGATAAATAATTCCTGAAGCTGCAATTAACTGAAATTCCATAAACCAAGCCATTCCATTTGAGTTAGGAGGGCATATGAAACTTTAATGCGCTCTGCACAGGGAGACAAATACATTCTCCCCCACGTTCTGTTTATTAGCAATAGAAGCAGCATCCCCTCAAGCTTCAAACATTGAAATATTTTTCCAGGAACAATTTTTGGGATGCTTCCTCATTTATAGAAATATTAATGCACAGATAATGCAAATAAATAATGCACATAAATCGATATTCACCATGCGTCTCCATTACTTTCAATACACATTTTAATTGATTTCAGATTAGGTGGGGTGGGTGGGGGATAGTACAGGAGAATAGATCCGAAGCGACAGTTTGCTGTTAGCAAAAACGTCATCACCGACAAGGGTAAGCTGACCTTTTCCAGCCTGATCCGTCAAGGAGAGTTCTAGTCAACCTGACGAGAGGAGGGGGGCCTCGTTCTCTGTAGGCATAGCGCTACACACCATCGTACTGTGTAGCCTTGGGGCTGTATGGGTAACCGAGGCGTTCTCTACTGCTGGGTGTGACACCCAGCTCCCTAAAGATCAGATTACTATACATACGGTATCATGGCCCATCTGTCAAGGGTGTTGTGTTGCGGTCCAAACCTAAGACCATGAATGTTGCTAGTAGAGGATAAGGTGCTCTGGGAGCGCATAGGTAGGTCTACCGAAGCCTTTTCTCCGATTGACGAGACATACTCCTACGGGATACGTTCACCAAATAGCCATGATGTTCTGTCATTGGATGACACTAATGCTTTATTATGAAACCAATGAAACATATGATTAATTAATTACTTTGTTTATTTAAAGGGTATTTTGTCCTGAAACAGTGTTACAATAACTTTTTTCCATTGATGCTCAAATGTAGGCTATTGCATGAGATGACATAGACGCAACAAACTAACCCAAATCCAACATTGTAAAATCAAAGTCAACCTGGCAACCCTCATTAAACATTAAAATAACTATTTCCAAGTATGAGTACTCACATGTTGGTATTTATTGGGAGAGTCCTTTGCTCCTTGTCTCGGCTGGCTTCTCTCCCTCACGTTCAGAACCTTTGTGGAGGGATGGTGCCACTTGGCCTCTGCAAAAGAGGAAGAAGACAATTCGTGATTGTTTTCTTTGAGATATAATTTTCTCATTAAAATACTTGTGGTCCACCAGAGCTGATGTCAGGTCAATTCACCATAAATTCAGGACTTGAACTGGGTCATATTCACTAGGAACCAAATAGAAGCAAACAGATTGAAGTGGGGAGGGACTACCTGAATTTGTCCAATAAGAAACGCTTGTTTTCATTTTCCATTGCAAAACCTTTTGATACATTGTGAACTAATGAATATGACCCTAGTTGCCATTATTGGCATTTTTTCAATGCAGTTCCTGAAATGCCCAAAAATGTATTGGAATGGCAGTTCTTTGGTCATTCTAATCTATGGTATAGGCTATGAAAGCACATTTGTCATTTGTTGACATCACATAATCATGACACGTTTGGTAACACTTAGTGTGAATGCCAATCTTGAATCTGTAAGAATGACAGTTAATATTGCTTTCTGTTTTGTCTGTCTCCAGCTGACCTTTCTGCTAAGTGCATTTCTACTGACTGGCGAGTCTCTTTCATAGCACAGTTGATGATGATGATGATAATTATATTGCTGAAACATGATGCTGGTGATGAAGAAGAGTAACCCATACCTGCAGATCTGGTCCTCTCCAGCTTGGGCTCCCTCTCTCTCCGGCCCTCTCCCTCCTTGTCGCTCGGCTGGTCCAGGAGCAGTGCAGGGGACTGGCATCTACAGGTGCATGAAAGAAGGACACGACATAAAGCTAGAGGTACCAGCAAACTGGTTTAAATCTGCAAAAGGGGGAGGCAAGATATGACGTCTTCGTTGAACATTCTAACCATGAAGACAGTCAGTCAATGACGCGCAGGTCAGCCATTTTTTTTATTTTTACCCGAACAGACTCCCAGTTTTTCTTTTACTGACCCGCACCTGCATGATCCAATGTAAAGCTGCCAGACCCTAGCTCAGGGGTAGGCAACCCTGGTCCTGGAGCGCCGCGGGCACTTCATGTTTTTGATTTAACTGACCTGGAAGACCAGGTGAATTTAGGCAATCATTTAACTGATCAATTACCTCAGTTGGTCAGGTGTAGTACCTAGTTGGAGCAAAATGCTGCGGTACCTGCGGAACTCCAAGAACAGGGTTGCCTACCCCTGCCCTACCTAATCACAACTGTATCAACTTTCAATGCAATAATTCTGTCAAATGAGAATCATTGTCCAAAACTCACACCTCAAAGAGAAAAGAGAATGCTAACCAGCATATCATGGCTCCCAAACACTACAATTGAGAAAATGTGTTCAAATTATAGTATTCTCCCACAGCATCCTCAACGCTTTGCCATTGCTTTGCATCGGAACCTTTAAAAGTGCATTGTAACACTTATCCGGCCCACTTCCTGCTTTTCGCACCACTGGCCATTGTTTCACTGTTTCTCACCACTTGGCTAGTCGCACAGAGCTATTTCAAACCTTTCCCTTGGTGTGTAACAGTATCCGTTAAGCTGCGGCTGCCCAGACACATTTCCACAACGGATGCTGTTGGGATATTGAAGGAATGCCTTGCAACCTGAGAGCCAGGGTCCAGCTGCGGCCTCTGGCCTGGCGACTATAGACTTGTCTGGACTGCAGAAGGTCAAGGAATGGCGTCTCTGGAAGAACCAGGATGGGGGGTGGTAATGGCATTGTTCTGTCCTAGATAGAGGAGATGGCCTATCATATAACACACGACTGGTCCCACTACATATACTGAATATATGTCTGTATTGAATATATACACTGCTGAATATACAGTATGGGCTTATGTACTGAATAAACACTACACTGATGCTTCTGCATTGTTGCTCTTTGGGGTTTTAGGCTGGTATCTGGAAATGCTGAGGTAAAAAGGGCTTTTAAAATAAATGTATGGGTCACTGTCAATGCCGAACAGTTATGAAAATGGCTTTGGATAAAAATGCTAAATGACCATAGTATTATTATTATGGTCCTCTTTCTCTATAGATGATGTGCCATCTATGCACAGGAGGGGATAGTCTGGTTTAAGAGGGTTGATAGGAGTGTAAATATGTATTGCACTTTCGATGTAAATATGTACATGTGGTCCTCTGTAGCTCAGCTGGTAGAGCACGGCGCTTGTAACGCCAAGGTAGTGGGTTCGATCCCCGGGACCACCCATACACAAAAAAATGTATGCACGCATGACTGTAAGTCGCTTTGGATAAAAGCGTCTGCTAAATGGCATATTATTATTATTATTATTATTATTATGTAGCCTGTTGCACTTTTCATATTAATGTTAATTGTGCATTATTCTGTGTCTCTATGTATTATGTACTTTGTCTTTTTAAGCACACTGCCAAATGAATTTCCCCCTGTTGGGATAATAAAGTTGATCTAATCTCGGAGCAAAGAAAAACACCTAAATGCATCTTATTAGATAGATGATAGCCATTTCTCCCATTCATTTGGGCTTGGGGTCTGTAGATTTCTCTTAATGCTCTCATAGCTGTAGGCCTATCGGTAACCGGTACACACAAGATGCCATCAAATATGGACTTGATTATTTTGAGGAACGGAAACATCTAACAAAACTTTGATTTTGGACTGAACTATCCATTTAAACAGATAGGTGGGCAGGGTTTGCACTTTTGGTACTATTCCATTGGTACCATTGCCCCAGAAAAGCTCAATCAAGCACAGATACAGTATTTGAATATAATTGTATTCAAACCCAGTCTGCTGTGTACGTAACTCTCCATGGAGGGGTGAGGCATGAGGTTGAGAGTGTCCTAAAACGCATACCGTAGTTGTCCTAAAATATATACCATAGCCGTCATAAAATGTAATGCACTTACCCGTTAATGTATCCTGCCTTCTGGGACCAGGTGCCGCATGGTCCGGGGTCGCTGGAGGTGGACTGGTTGCTGGGGGAACTGCAGTAGAGTTGTCCTGCTTCCCGACTGCTACAGGAGGCCGTAGGGGATATCTCATATTCCTGCAGTACCCTGAAAACCAACAAAGGAACGTTTAGAGGCCTCGAACCACCCAAGTTCCCCACCTGTAGGCTACAGCTCCAATGGCTCAGTTGAATGGGGTTGGTTGTTAGTTGGATTCTCAAAAGGGCCACATACATTAGGTCTAAGAAAACACTTTGACTGTACCTAGCAGACAAAACTATATTGCCCACTGGGTGGGTCACTTTGGTTAAACACTAAACACATAAATCTGCTAAACGACTATGTTATCACTCCTATTATTCTCAGAGTTGTCAAACAAAATAAAAGAGCCGTCATGACAATGCAGGCATGTCAATACAACTCAACACCTAATCCGGTGTATGATTGTGCTCCTGATGTTTGTTAGTTTTGTGTCTCACCATGTCTGTTATGCCACTGTGAAGCCAAAGGTCAAATTAAACAGTGTAGACAACGTTTTATTAGATATGGACAATACAAATAGTGGAACAGGGGTCATCCACTGTACTGTGACCATAAATAGTAACTGGACTTCTAGAATCCCACCAATTTATGAAGAGTGCTTGGGGAAATACTTGCGGAACATAGTGTAAGTAACAATTAGGCAAGGCGCTATTCTTAGCCTGAACGGACTGTTCCAAGCCTCCATGGAGTGGGAGATGCTCGAGCTTCCAACTCGTGAAACCCAACTCTCCCACCGGCCCGGAGAGGAACGCTGAGCCCTCGAAAAATACAGAATCATGGATCATATGGAAAAGCTGAGATGAGATTGTCAACGTGCAATGGGGAATGTGAGAGAAAAATTCCGCATTTACCTGATTTGTTTGATATTAATAGTTAACAATTATATACTTAACAAAGCGTAAGACATTTCTGTTCTGCTAATGCTGTGTTTGTGTAAAAGGGATGGTTTCTACTCCAGCTCCCTGCAGCTAATCTGGGCGTGTGGTCACTAGAGATAGCTTGAGCTAAACCCCTCATTGTTTCTAATCATTCTTGCATTTGGGAAACTAAGCCGGGCTGGGGGTTAAAACAACACCTGGTGCAGATAACCATAAGGATGAACCCAAGGTGGCTTATGATGCCACTTGATCTGCATGGGAGGGGTGGAACCAGCCATGACTAAGCATTTTAGTGTCAGCTATATAAGAACCAGGATTCCTCTGTAAGGTCAAGCTCTCGGCACACACGCTTCAGAGTGTGCGGTCGACCAGCTTCATTATTGCAATAATTAATCGATGTTAAATAAAGATTGATTGTTTGAATAATTGTCCAAGTCTCTCTCAGTATACATACATTTCCACGACAGGAAGCTTGCATAATATTGGGTATATAGGGCAGGGAGGAAGGGATGAGGGGGCGTGAAAGGGAGGAGGGGTCTTTCCAGATGGGGCGGAATAAAACTCTGCATATTCAGCAGCTTCGGAGCAGTCCTGCTTCGCAAGGCGTTGGCAGATGTAAATTGAGTCCCACTCCCTCTTAATTAGCTGCCGAAGCTCCAAGGGACACGTTAAGAATAGGAAGCCACAAAGTGTTGGAATTCGAACAACCCCCACACACACATGTCTGTTTCCCTTAGGAAAACATGTCACCTTAATGGTTCCATTGTACTACCTCAGAGTATATCACTTATGGTTTTTTAGTAGACAGTGTCACATATGACAAATATGGTATGGTAAAAGTGTGCGGGAAATGCCATGTTACATGAATCATAACCCAGAAACCCGTTTTTATATTTCCTGCTGGTAATGGTGTGGTGACTCCCGGTACGCTCCACAGTGCTTATAAGAACCAGTATGTTACTACAGTATATTAACTGGTCTGGTCCAAAAGGTAGACTGAGAAGGCTGGTGTCTTGGAAATACGTGGTCATTCTCATTATTTACCCAGCAATGAACAATAACCTATTCTGTGTGAAGTGCACTCCATTTGAAATGCCCATGTCTCCAAGAGAGAGAGACATGTCTGATAAGAACAATTTAAAAGGTTGCAAACAGGTCTATAACATACACTGATTGTACAAAACATTAAGAACACGTTCCTAATACACTCAGTGTAGACTTGTAAAGTCTTTCATACAGACATATACAAGGACACTCCAATCTGAAAATAGAGTTTTCACTCCTGAGGCCAATCCATGCCGTAATCATTCCTGTGAAACCAATGACAATAAGGAAAAAGGCTTTTCTTTCTACAAAAGGTCAAACTGATCCCACACAAATGCACTACTCCCATGTATACATGCACACATACAGTTGTCACACAGTTGTAAAAGGACATGCGCACACACACACGCAATGGCATGGACACACACGCGTTCAACCTGATGCACAATTGCATAGCTGAAATGTAATGCAACACTACCCGAAAGACCAGTGCTGAGGTAGGCTTGCTGTCGCTGTGTGTTTGTGTGCGTATGTGTGTGAAAGCGTGTGTTAAATAACAGGGGCACAACATGGAGGTCATTCCTAATAGACACAGAGTGAGAAACAGTCACTCTAAATACAGGGTAAAAAAAAGCAGACGCTTATGGATTGATATTAGTGATAACAAAATGAAACATGTCATAATACAAATTCAATTATTAAATTCGGATAAATATTCTGTTGCCACTAAAATCACTCCATAGATATGCCAGGTGTAAAAAATGACCCAACATAAGGGCAACAACAAAACGACAAGGAATAACCTTCTATAGTCTCTTTTCTGTTCGTTTTTCTGTTAGCAATATATCACAATGCCAAAGAGTGCTTCTCATCGACATTCATTATTGATTCAGTTGTTTTCTCTAGTCCTGGGACCCACTGTGTGTGCAAATACCATCTGAACCAAGGTCTGTGAGAAACACTGCTTTAAGTATAGTAGCTACAGTATGTTAGAGTGGGAAGTAGAGCTGGGTCGAGTTCATCAACGGTAGAAAACAGACAAACAGGGACGGTTTACCTAGACTTGTCAAATAACAAAAGATCATTCTTGTTTTCCATTGCAAATCGTTTCAAAACACTCAGTTGCTTTCCCTAATGAACATGCCACTTCCGCCATCTTGTTTTTCTTCCTGTCAGATCCTAGTCTCGGTTTCCCAGTCATGTACTTGCCACTTGATAATTTTATGCTAATCACATTACAAAAACCTTGACCTCATTATTCACGGCCTATGCTAATGTTGTACGGTGTGAGTGATACTAAGGATAGAGGTGCCATTGTGTCCTGTCGGGAAAATTATACAATTTCACTAACAAAAAGAATGCATGTAAATGACAAATAAATTAAATGAAGAAACTCTGGGCTTGAGAATGGGTAGCGTTAAAATTGAAGCTAACACAGGAAATACTACTTTTCTGGGGTTCAAATTGCTTTTCACCTTATCCTGTCCATTCAAATCAGTGGCCCTAAAGGAAACAAGTCGGCTATGGGTCCTATTCAATTATTAGTACAGGTCCTTGGGATGAGTCAGACATGATTGGCCAGCAAATACGTATATGTATCTGAAAAGATGTTCTGAATCTGAGTGATTCTTTATGCCAAGCAAGGAAGCATGCTTGATGTAATATACCGGTATTTCTTTTGGTCACACACTTTGAGCATGATTTTGAGCGTCAAAGGCAGGGATACACAAATCTCCAGACAAATACTGCTGATATAAATTCTTCTCTCTATGTAGAGACTGATTAAGACAGTGCTGGTGAGTGGAATCTCTAACCAACCAGTGACAGTCAGTTAACTCCGTTAGAAAAGAAAACCGGCAGCACTTTGCCGCTCCAGGATCATATTTGAGTACCTCTGATGTAGGGGGTTTGAACTAGGAACTATGAGTCAATTGAGCCAAAGAAGATGGAGGTGGGTGCTGAGGTGTACCTGGTCCCGTCCTGTTGCTTCTTGTCGAAGGAGGTGCTGCGGGAGATGGCCCCCTGGGCGTAGTGAAACATCTGCTGCCCGGGGCTGGGGCCCTGTGTAGGGGAGGTCCGGGACAGGGGCAGGCCGCCACCCGGGGCGGCTGAGACGCGGTGCCAGCCAGCAGCCGTGGTGGTCTTGTACTCCACCACGGGGATGCGGTACATCTCAGAGCAGCTCCTGATAGAACAAATCAAAAGACACATTAGCAATGGAGCGTCTTACAAAACAATCTTAAATGGTAAGTAGAAGTTAATGGACTTACATTATACTGTAAGAGCATGAGTAAGTGTTGTTACCGTGTTATTAAGTGCCTCTAATGTAAAAAGTGTGACACAATCCTCAAACTTGCCAAAAAGGCTATACTGTAAGTCAATGGGAGAGTTACATTGAGATTTTGCAGATGGACTGCATTTTGAGTGTTTGGTATTTTGAGATTTTCCACTGCCTGTGACATTTTTCCTCAAACCTCACTACTTGATACGTCCGTTTCCAAAGTGGTACAGCCCCGTTCCACCTCTTTCTTGCTTGATTTAACCATCAGAATATAGTATTAACCCAATATTCTGGGTGCGAAAGAGATGACCAACTTCCCATTGCATTTGGGACCAGTCAGTGTCCAACTTCATCCCAATTTACATTTACATTTTAGTCATTTAGCAGACGCTCTTATCCAGAGCGACTTACAGTTAGTGAGTGCACACATTTTCATACTGCCCCCCCCCGTGGGAAACAAACCCACAACCCTGGCGTTGCAAGCGCCATGCTCTACCAACTGAGCTACACGGGACTACATTTACTGCTACTTTGCTACAGTTAAATATGTAAAATATTTGCTGATGGATATGAGCTGCATTGACTAAGCCTGTGGCCGATTGACATCAATAACACTGGTATTTTATTAGGATCCCCATTAGCTGTTGCGAAAGCAGCAGCTACTCTTCAAGGAGTCCAAAGAAAACATGACATTATACATAACATTAATAGACAATATTGATACATTTAACAAACCCATTAGGTCATGACTACAGAGATAATTAGCTTTGAACTAGCTGGGAGATATAGGCTGGGTCCCAAAAGGTACCCTATTTCCTATACTGAACAAAAATATAAATGCAACATGTAAAGTGTTGATCCCATGTTTCATGAGCTGAAATAAAATATCCCAGAAATGTTCCTTAAGCACATATAGTACAAACTATTGATAATGTTTTGTCTTTCACTCTGCTTGATTCCTGTTTAAACATGATTTGGAAAGTCTCAAGTCCTCAATCCAACAGTTCAAATGTTTTAAAAAAATGGCAAAGCGCGAAAGCCCCGTCTTGATTCATACATGTTGGCCTAGTCTAATACTCAAATGGGACCCATTTCCTTTAAAATGCACAACTTTTAACCAGGCCCCATAGGGCTCTGGCCTAAAGTAATACGATATATATAAATAGAAACGGAACATGCAACAATTTCAAAGATTTTACTGAGTTACAGTTCATATAAGGAAATCAGTCAATTGAAATCAATTCATTAGGCCCTAATCTATGGATTTCACATGCCTGGGAATACAGATATGCATCTGTTGGTCAAAGATACCTTTAAAAAAAGGTAGGAGCGTGGATCAGAAAACCAGTCAGTATCTGGTGACCACCATTTGCCTCATGCAGTGCGACATCTCCTTCACATAGAGTTGATCAGGCTGTTGATTGTGGCCTGTGGAACGTTGTCCCACTCCTTTTCAATGGCTGTGCGAAGTTGCTGGATATTGGCTAGAACTGGAACACGCTGTCGTACATGTTGATCCAGAGCATCCCAAACATGCTCAATAGGTGACATGTCTGGTGAGTATGCAGGCCATGGGAAGAACTGGGACATTTTCAGCATCCAGGAATTGTGTACAGATCCTTGCGACATGGGGCAGTGAATTATCATGCTGAAATATGGTGATGGTGGCAGATGAATGGCACAACAATGGTCCTCAGGATCTCATCAAGGTATCTCTGTGCATTCAAATTGCCATTGATAAAATTGCAATTGTGTTCGTTGTCTGTAGCTTATGTCTGCCCATACCATAACTCCACTGCCACCATGGGGCACTCTGTTCACAGCGTTGACATCAGCAAACCCCTCGCCCACAAGATGCAATACATGCCATCTGCCCAGTACAGTTGAAACCGGGATTCATCCGTGAAGAGCACACTTCTCCAGTAAGCCAGTGGCCATCGAAGGTGAGCATTCGCCCACTGAAGTCAGTTACGACGCCGCACTGCAGTCAGGTCAAGACCCTGTTGAGGACGACGAGCACGCCGCTGAGCATTCCTGAAACTGTTTCTGAAGAAATGTTTCGGTTGTGCAAACCCACAGTTTTATCAGCTGTCCCGGTGGCTGGTCTCAGACGATCCCGTAGGTGAAGAAGCCGGATGTGGAGGTGATAGGCTGGCATGGTTACACGTGGTCTGCGGATGTGAGGTTGGTTGGACGTACTGTCAAATTCTCTAAAACGACATTGGAGGCGGCTTATGGTAGAGAAATGAACATTATATCATCTGGCAACAGCTCTGGTGGACATTCCTGCAGTTAGCATGCCAATTCCATGCTCCCTCAAAACCTCTGACATCTGTGACATTGTGTTGTGACAAAACGGCATATTTTTGAGTGCCCTTTTATTGTCCCCAGCACAAGGTGCACTTGTGTAATTATCATGCTGTTTAATCAGCTTCTTGATATGCCACACCTGTCCGGTGGATGGATTATCTTGGCAAAGGAGAATTACTGATGTAAAACTCAACAGGTTATAGTGGTCGAAATCGTGGGACATTGATGAAACACTGATACTAACAGAGTGTTTAAAGTAGCAATTTGTAACTTTAATTTTGCCAGTGGCAACTTAAGATACTACAAACACCAAGAAGGAAAGCTCAAAATAAAGGGACATATTCACCAAGACCAAAACCCTGCCCTTTTGAGAAAAATAAAGTTACAGATTGTACCTATAAAGAATGAATTGGTTATATACTGAACAAACATGGTCCCATGTTTCATGAGCTGAAATAAAAGATCCCAGAAATGTTCCAAATGCACAAAAAGCTTATTTCTCAAGTTTTGTGCACACATTTCTTTACATCCCTGTTAGTGAGAATTTCTCCTTTGCCAAGACAATCCATCCACCTGAATATCAAGAAGCTGATTACACAGGTGCACTTTGTGCTGGGGACAATAAAAGGCCACTCTAAAATGTGCAGTTTTGCCACACAACACAATGCCACAGATGTCTCAAGTTTTGAGGGAGCGTGCAATTTGCATGCTGACTGCAGAAATGTCCACCAGAGCTGTTGCCAGATAATTAATGTTAATTTCTCTACCATAAGCCGCCTCCAACGTCGTTTTAGAGAATTTGGCATAACGCCCAACCGGCCTCACAACTGCAGACCAAGTGTAACCATGCCAGCCCAGGATTTACACATCCAACTTCTTCACCTGCTGGATCGCCTGAAACCAGCCACCCGGACAGCTGATTAAACTGAGGAGTATTTCTGTCTGTAATAAAGCCCTTTTGTGGGGAAAAAATCATTCTGATTGGCTGGGCCTGGCTCCTATGTGGGTGGGCCTATGCCCACCCATGGCTGCGCCCCTGCATAGTCATGGGAAATCCATATATTAGGCCCTAATGAATTTATTTCAATTGACTGATTTCCTTATATGAACTGTAACACAGTAAAATCATAGTAATTGTTGCATGTTGCGTATATATATTTGTTCAGTATAAGAATACTGGGACAGATGTTTTTGTAAGAGCTATTAAGCTTAGTTTAAGTTAAGTGCAAAGAAGAAGGAAGTGGTGTTTAACCTACCTCCTGGGTGTGCCGTCCTCGTGGGGCTGGACGATGACCACACTGACCGTGTTGGACGTGCGCAGCAGGTCGATCATCTGCTCGTGGGACAGTGTGGCCACGGCCACCTTGCAGATCTCCATCAGCCGGCTACCTGGACGGAGACCCACCTGCCAGGCGAAGCCGAAGGGCTCCACGTCCGCCACCACGCCCTCGAAGTTGACGTGGAATCCCAGCTGGCCCAGACCGTTCCGCCGGAGGGTCATCTCCACTGTCTCGCAGCCCCGGGTGACAATCTAGGGTGACATGACCAAGAGAGTCAATTCCAGCATACTCTGATCTACTACAACGGCTTTATTAGGGTTGAACCATGTTGGCAACTGTTTTGATAAGTTATGAGCATTACCTTATAAGGCCTACTGTAGGTCAACCTTTACCCCAGTTAAGGAGGGGCAGTAATTAGTAACTTTGTGGTTTGACACAATCCACACAAATACAAAACCTTAATAGCACCGAAGCCGATGAGAACTTAAGCCATTATCCCTTTCCATTTTAAAGTTGGTTGAAAAGACTAAGGGCTCCATAACCGAAATTAAAATGGCCGGGGATAGAGCGCTGAGGGACACCCGATCCTATACAACCTCTCGTCTCCCCCTAAATAATACAATTATCAACCAAACGACTAAATCCATTCCTGGCAAAAGAAGCAGGATGAAAGTACATGCCCCAGCAGGCCTTTATTACCATCAGTGATTCAAGAACAGTAACTTTTAACAACAAACATATTGTCGTGAGGCTGAGGTATGGTGGAGGTATAAAGGGGCACATCTGCCGACCTGCTGACTAAACTGCTGTGACTTGGGCCGGCTCCCATGACTTGAGTAATCACCTCACTGCAGTGTTTACCCACAGTAAACTACTTAGCTTAAACATATATTTTCACATCAGATCTTTTACAGAGCTGATCTGATTGGTCAAAATACCAATTAGTGAGAAAAGATCAGAATTGGGATGCCTGTCTAAACGCAGGTACAAGGATTTCATGCAAGTGTTTTATGATACTTACAGTGGGGAAAAAAGTATTTAGTCAGCCACCAATTGTGCAAGTTCTCCCACTTAAAAAGATGAGAGAGGCCTGTAATTTTCATCATAGGTACACGTCAACTATGACAGACAAATTGAGAAGAAAAAAAATCCAGAAAATCACATTGTAGGATTTTTTATGAATTTATTTGCAAATTATGGTGGAAAATAAGTATTTGGTCACCTACAAACAAGCAATATTTCTGGCTCTCACAGACCTGTAACTTCTTCTTTAAGAGGCTCCTCTGTCCTCCACTCATTACCTGTATTAATGGCACATGTTTGAACTTGTTATCAGTATAAAAGACACCTGTCCACAACCTCAAACAGTCACACTCCAAACTCCATTATGGCCAAGACCAAAGAGCTGTCAAAGGACACCAGAAACAAAATTGTAGACCTGCACCAGGCTGGGAAGACTGAATCTGCAATAGGTAAGCAGCTTGGTTTGAAGAAATCAACTGTGGGAGCAATTATTAGGAAATGGAAGACATACAAGACCACTGATAATCTCCCTCGATCTGGGGCTCCACGCAAGATCTCACCCCGTGGGGTCAAAATGATCACAAGAACGGTGAGCAAAAATCCCAGAACCACACGGGGGGACCTAGTGAATGACCTGCAGAGAGCTGGGACCAAAGTAACAAAGCCTACCATCAGTTACACACTACGCCGCCAGGGACTCAAATCCTGCAGTGCGAGACGTGTCCCCCTGCTTAAGCCAGTACATGTCCAGGCCCGTCTGAAGTTTGCTAGAGTGCATTTGGATGATCCAGAAGAGGATTGGGAGAATGTCATATGGTCAGATGAAACCAAAATAGAACTTTTTGTTAAAAACTCAACTCGTCGTGTTTGGAGGACAAAGAATGCTGAGTTGCATCCAAAGAACACCATACCTACTGTGAAGCATGGGGGTGGAAACATCATGCTTTGGGGCTGTTTTTCTGCAAAGGGACCAGGACGACTGATCCGTGTAAAGGAAAGAATGAATGGGGCCATGTATCGTGAGATTTTGTGTGAAAACCTCCTTCCATCAGCAAGGGCATTGAAGATGAAACATGGCTGGGTCTTTCAGCATGACAATGATCCCAAACACACCGCCCGGGCAACGAAGGAGTGGCTTCGTAAGAAGCATTTCAAGGTCCTGGAGTGGCCTAGCCAGTCTCTAGATCTCAACCCCATAGAAAATCTTTGGAGGGAGTTGAAAGTCTGTGTTGCCCAGCGACAGCCCCAAAACATCACTGCTCTAGAGGAGATCTGCATGGAGGAATGGGCCAAAATACCAGCAACAGTGTGTGAAAACCTTGTGAAGACTTACAGAAAACGTTTGACCTGTGTCATTGCCAACAAAGGGTATATAACAAAGTATTGAGAAACTTTTGTTATTGACCAAATACTTATTTTCCACCATAATTTGCAAATAAATTCATAAAAAATCCTACAATGTGATTTTCTGGAAAAAAAATTCTCATTTTGTCTGTCATAGTTGACGTGTACCTATGATGAAAAATACAGGCCTCTCTCATCTTTTTAAGTGGGAGAACTTGCACAATTGGTGGCTGACTAAATACTTTTTTTCCCCACTGTATGTCTCAGGCAGAGGTGGCCAAATTTTCTCTCTGGGCCAGTGTGGGTACAGCCAAGCAGTAACAAACCCAATTCAAGTGATCAACTAAACTTAATCTTCAGTAAATACTTGGAGAGGTTGAATCAGATATGTTCCTTGTATGTTTGATTGGTGACCCCTGGTTTAAGGACTTTAACACTGAGGCATGGTTTCCCAGACACAAATTAAGCCTAGTCCTTGACAAAATTATCATTCTCAATGGAAAATCTTAGTTGAAAATGCTTTTTAGTCCAGGATTAGGCTTAATCTGTGTACAGGAAACCACCACTGAATTATGTGGTCTTTTAGCCCCCCACACAACCCTCTTACCTCCAACCTCTGCATGATCTCCCGGATGTCGTCCCAGCATCCTTCCTGCGTGGAGAACACCACGCACTCACCGCGCTCGTAGAAAAGCCGGACACTTCCGGATGTTGCGCTCCAACCGAGGACGTCGCGGCAGTAGCAGTTGAACACCACCTCCTTGGACGCCTCTTCGATCAGCACCACAAACTCATTGGAGACGGCCAGCAGGCAGCCGATGTCCGCCGACTGGCCAAAGTCCCGTGCCACCACAGCCCAAGTGACCGCACCGTAGCTCTGGAGGTGGGCGTTCCGCCGGGGTCGGCTGCGCTCCTTCTTCTTGACACCCAACGAGATGAAGCTGAACTTAGCCGCCGAAGAGTCCACGGGGGTGGCGCTTACAAAGTTCTCGGCCAAATCCTTCAGGTACTCTTGGCGCGTGCGCATAGCCATGGCGCGGAACTTGTCAGACTTATGCACCGCATTCTCGCCGTTCAACATCTTGGCCAGGAGGAAGTCCCGGAACATGGCCGACTTTGGGAAGAGCACCCCCTGGGGGATAGGAGGACCGAAGGCGGGCACATCTTTAGATCTGGTGACCGCCACACTAAAACCAAATGAAGAAAAACAGCCATTTTAATCCCTCTGTCATTTTGCATCATAATATTTTATAAGTAACACAAATAGGTCATGACAATACATTTGAGAGAGATCTGTTGGGGGATTTTGAATTACAGCCATTACGACCCCTCTCTGGAAATGGAAAGGTTTCAAACTGTTGTTCTGCTAATCCAAAGAGCACTTGCTGTTACAGATGGGGGCAATTACAAGAGCAGAACAAGTGGTTTCCCGATCAACTGTACGTCATATTAGATAGCTAAAGTTCTGTTCCATCGCGTGAATATAATTTAACACTGACTACACAAGCTTTTTTATAATCACCTATTATAAATAGAGGTGTGGTTTCAGTTTCAACAAATATAGGTTGTTTCAACCATCACAGTGGTGTTGGTTACTGTATGATCAGAATTCTGATTCAAGACTCAGGTCTTCTAACAGTAAGGGCCGGAAATCATTGTAGTGGATTTTCAGAAGTTTCTTTGAATTGTACAGCAGCATATCCAAATCAAAGTTTATTGGTCGTGTACACAGATTTGCAGATGTTATCACAGGTGCAGCGAAATGCTTGTGTTTCTAGCTCCAACAGTGCACTAATAGCAGACAAGAGACTTGAACATAAAGATATGTACATACAGTGTATTCGGAAAGTATTCAGAACCCTGACTTTTTCCATATTTCGTTACGTAGCAGCCTTATTCTAAAATTGATTAAATTGTTTTTTTCCCCTCATCAATCTACAAACAATACCCCATAATGACAAAGCAAAAGCATAAAACAATTTTGGGGGGAGTTTCTCCCATTCTTCTCTGCAGATCCTCTCAAGCTGTGTCAGGTTAGATGGGGAACGTAGCTGCCCAGCTATTTTCAGGTCTCTCCAGAGATGTTCGATCGGGTTCAAGTCCGGGCTCTGGCTTGGTCACTCAAGGAAATTCAGAGACATGTCCCGAAGCCACTCCTGCATTGTCTTGGCTTTGTACTTGGGGTCATTGTCCTGTTGGAAGGTGAACCTTCGCCCCAGTCAAAGGTCCTGAGAGCCCTCTGGAGCAACTTTTCATCAAGGATCTCTCTGTACATTGCTCCGTTCATCTTTCCCTCGATCCTGACTAGTCTCCCAGTCCCTGCCACTGAAAAACATCCCCACAGCATGATGCTGCCACCACCATACTTCACCGTAGGGATGGTGCCAGGTTTCCTCCAGACGTGACACTTGGCATTCAGGCCAAAGAGTTCAATCTTGGTTTTATTAGACTAGAGAGTGGGCTGTCATGTGCCTTTTACTGAGGAGTGGCTTCCATCTGGCCACTCTACCATAAAGGCCTGATTGGTGGAGTGCTGCAGAGATGGTTGTCCTTCTGGAAGGTTCTCCCATCTCCACAGAGGAACTCTGGAGCACTATCAGAGTGACCATCAGGTTTTTGGTCACTTCCCTGACCAAGACCTTTCTCTCCTGATTGCTCAGTCTGGCTGGGCGGCCAGCTCTAGGAAGAGTCTCGGTGGTTCCAAACTTCATCCATTTAAGAAGGATGGAGGCCACTGTGTTCTTGGGGACCTTCAATGCTGCAGACATTTTTTGGTACCCTTCCCCAGATCTGTGCCTCGACACAATCCTGTCTCGGCGCTCTACGGACAATTCCCTCGACCTCATGACTGGTTTTTGCTCTGACATGCACTGTCAACTATGGGACATTATATAGACAGGTGTGTGCCTTTCCAAATCATGGCCAATCAACTGAATTTGCCACAGGTGGACTACAAACAAGTTGTCATCAAGGATGATCAATGGAAACAGGATGCACCGGAGCTTAATTTTGAGTCTCATAGCAAAGGGTCTGAATACTTATGTAAATATTTTGTTTTTAATTTGGTATAAATTTGCAAACATTTCTAAAAACCTCTTTTCACTTTGTCATTATGGGGTTTTGTGTGTACGTTGATGAGGAATTTTTATTATTGAATCCATTTTAGAATATGGCTGTAACGTAACAAAATGTGGAAAAAGTCAAGGGGTTTGAATATTTTCCGAATGCACTGTACATATAAAGTGGGTAAAATAGTATGTAAACACTATTAAAGTGACCAGTGTTCAATGACTATGTACATAGAGCAGCAGTCTAAGGTGCAGGGTAGAGTACCGGGTGGTAGCCAGCTAGAACAGTGGCTGAGGTTCAGGGCAAGGTACTGAATGTGAGGGTCTAAAGGCTTCAGCACGCTTCAGTTTGGCTGGAGGCTAGCCGAAGTCGGCTAGATGAACGAGTGTGCTCGCATACTCCCTTAAAAGACCTTAGCTTGAAAAACAAGAAAAAAGCAGCAATAGTACTGTTTGTCCTATTAGAGACGCCGTAGCCAGTCGTAGCTATTACTCAAAATAGTCTGAATTAATCTAAGATAACTCAAGAAATCTATCATTCATTTTGACATTTTTGCAGAGGAGTTCTATAGTTGCTCAATTTTACATCTAACTAGGATGTTTGGTGCAGTATTTCTCAATGAAAAAATGTGCATGGAAACGAGTCGTCTCGCATTGAATGACAACAAAGACTATTGAAGAATCCCTACAGCTGACCAATCACGGACAAAGGGGCGTAGATTTCGGCTCCCGAACTTCGGCTGGCCTCGAGAAAAATGTGTGTGCCCGAACAGCCGGAAAAAACTCTTACGAAGTCCGAAACGAACAAAAACGCCACAAATTGTTGTCATGATATATGCACATATATGCACAAACTCTTCCAAACTGTTTCGGCTGGGAAGCATGCGGACGCCTTTAGGAGATAAGCCACATTTCTTCAGCCTCCTGAAGTTGAAAAGGCGCTGTTGCGTCTTCTTCACCACGCTGTCTGTGTGAAGGGACCCTTTCAGGTTGTCAGTGATGTGTATGCAGAGGAACTTGAACTTTTCTCCTTCTCCACTGCGGCCCCGTCGATGTGGATGGGGGAGTGCTCTCTCTGCTGTCTCCTGTAGTCTACAATCAGCTCCTTTGTTTTGCTGAGGGAGAGGTTAATTTCCTGGTACCTCTTCACCAGGGCCTTCACCTTCTCCCTGTAGGCTGTCTCATCGTTGTTGGTAATCAGGCCTACCACTGTTGTGTCGTCAGCAAACTTGATGATTGAGTTGGAGAAGTGCGTGGCAACGCAGTCAAGGGTAAACAGGGAGCACAGGAAGGGGCTGAGCACGCACCCCTGTGGGGCCCCCGTGTTGATTGCCTATCTTCACCACTTGGGGTCAGCCCGTCAGGAAGTCCAGGACCCAGTTGCACAGGCAGGGGTTAAGCCCCTGGGCCCTGAGCTGTAATTGATTAACAGTATTCTTACATACAGTGGGGAGAACAAGTATTTGATACAATGCCGATTTTGCAGGTTTTCCTACTTACAAAGCATGTAGAGGTCTGTAATTCTTATCATAGGTACACTTCAACTGAGAGAGATGGAACCTAAAACAAAAATCCAGATAATCACATTGTATGATTTTTAAGTAATTAATTTGCATTTTATTGCATGACATAAGTATTTGATCACCTACCAACCAGTAAGAATTCTGGCTCTCACAGACCTGTTAGTTTTTCTTTAAGAAGCCCTCCTGTTCTCCACTCATTACCTGTATTAACTACACCTGTTTGAACTCGTTACCTGTATAAAAGACACCTGTCCACACACTCAATCAAACAGACTCCAACCTCTCCACAAATGCCAAGACCAGAGAGCTGTGTAAGGACATCAGGGATAAAATTGTAGACCTGCACAAGGCTGGGATGGGCTACAGGACAATAGGCAATCATACAATGTGATTTTCTGGATTTTTGTTTTAGATTCCATCTCTCACAGTTGAAGTGTACCTATGATACAAATTACAGACCTCTACATGCTTTGTAAGTAGGATAACCTGCAAAATCAGCAGTGTATCAAATACTTGTTCTCCCCACTGTAGGTATTTATCTTGTTCAGGTGGGATAGGGCAGAGTGTAGTGCAATGGCGATTGCGTCGCCCGGGGATCTGTTGAGGCGATATGTGAATTGTAGTGGGTCTGGGTGTCAGGTACGGTGGAGGTGATATGGTCCTTAAAAAGCCTCTCAAAGAACTTCATGATGACAGAAATTAGTGCAACGGGGCGATAGTCATTTAGTTCAGTTACCTTCGCTTTCTTGGGTACAGGAACAATGGTGGACATCTTCATGCAAGTGGGGACAACAGACAGGGATATTAAATATGTCCGTAAATACTCCAGCCAGCTGGTCTGCACATGCTCTGAGGATGCGGCTTGGCATGCAGTCTGGACTGGCAGCCTTGCAAGGGTTAACACGCTTAAATTACTCACGTCGGCCACAGAGAACGAAAGCACAGAGTCCTCGTGAGCGTCGGTGTCCCACATCGGCAGCTCGATGTTGTTTTCCTCGAAGCGGGCAAAGGTGTTTATCTCATCCGGGAGCAAGGTGTAGGTGTACGCGACGTGGCTCGCTTTCCCTTCATAATCTGTGATTGTCTGGAGTCCCTGCCACATATGTCTGAGCCGTTTAATGGAACTTCACTGTGTACGGTTGTTTTGCCTCTTGATTGCGTTGCGGAGGTCATAGCTGGTCTGCTTGTACACGTCTATGTTCCCAGTCACCTTGCCATGGTTAAATACGGTGGTTTGCGCTAAAGCGTGAATGCTGCAATCTATCTACGGTTTTTGGTTTGGATGAGTTCTAATCGTCACAGTGGGAACAACATCCTCTATGCACTTCCTGATGAACCTAGTCATCGAGTCAATGTATACGTCAATACTATTCTCAGAGGTGACCCGGAACATTTCCAGGTCCATGTGATCAAAACAATCTTGAAGCATAGATTTCGATTGGTCAGACCAACATTGAGCAGTCCTTACCACGGGAGCATCCTGTTTAAGCTTCTGCCTATAAAGGTGGGGTGGAACAGAAGAGAGGTGTGATCGATTTGCCGAAGGGAGGGCGGGGGAGGGCTTTGTAGCCCGCCCCAATGTTAATCATGAAACAAACCCCTCCGCCTTTCTTTTTCCCTGAGAGTTTTTTTTTCCTGTCTGCACGATGGACAGAGAGAACCCTGCTGGCTGAATGGACGTGGACAATATATCCGCAGAGAGCGATGATTACATAAAAAAAAAAAAAAAGAGTATGTTACAGTCCCTGATGTCTTTCTGGAAGGAGATCCTCGCCCTAAGCTCATCTACTTTATTGTCTAGGAACGTTAGCGATGGAGGGAGTTGACACTTGATTCAACAATCATTAATAAACATACTTCTGAATGATCGGATTCCAGCCGTATTGAAATTGGGCCCTTAGGTACATGAATGCTTGAATCAATGCAAGTTAATTTAAACTAGCTCTACACATCTCTCACACCAAGTATTTTAGAAGTATCGGCGGTCCGCTTTGCTCACCTGTAGCAAACATTTTCTGTGCAAGGGTTTTGGACTTTGACGATGATGAACACGTGCTGGAAGTGCGAGCGAATGTTTTTCGGAGTGAAGGGAAGAGCACCAGGTTCCTGGAAGATGACGGTGACGATGTCATTTCCAATGTGTCTTTTCCTCAGTAGCTAAATGGCAAGAAAAGGAAACAGAAAAGAAAAAGCACATTAGAATTCAGAAAAGTAAATGCCCTTACAGTGCATGAGAGACTAGGACAATGTCTCAATGGTCTCAAACGGCTGATGAAGACCTACATGGTGGAAATCTATCCCATTCTTAATCTATCATGAGTCAAGCTGTTAAGTGGTCAAGGAAAGGATATGGAGGAGAGTAAAACATGTTTATTTGGAGTCTATCAGAGGGCAAGTGGGAGCTACAGTACTGTCATATTGCTTATACCTCTCATATCCTTGCCAATCGACAGAAGTGCTAAAGGGGTCAGTGGCTAGGGTCCAGGGTTTTTTAACAGGGCAATAGTCTCCTCACCAGGAGGCCATAGTCTCTTTAGTCCCTTGGTGTAGGTGGTAAACAAACGGGATGAGGGGTGGAATAGGCCGGATCAAGGGGCTCAAGTAGTGGCAGAGCCTCTGCAGACCTTGGGGGGCTTACTGCTAATCCAGTAAATCCTGATAATCAAGGCCCAAGACACATGCGATGCCCAAGACACTTGGCCCGTTCTATTTCCCTAGAGCTCGGAAACGATACTGGCCCTCGTTCCTGTATAGGTGGCTTTCTATGAACGCTGGGCAGATTGCGTGTTATGTCCAGGAATCAGGATTGACAGATGGTCACAGCTTTAAGATGGCCTAAAATCCTTAGTGCTGTAACTGAATTACAGACCTCCAGAAGAGTCCATTAATCAAAAAACAGTGATATGAATGCTGTTCCCAAGAGCTTTACGTAAGATACAACTGCAAAGCAAATAGATTTAACATGGTGCACATGACAATTCATTTATAGGGCGTGTTGGTATGGTCTAGATAGAAAGACCCACTCAGGCATATTCACAGACACCAAGCAGAGTGGGCAATTTAATTGAGGAGTGCATGCAAAATTGTTGTCGTGGCAACATCTCCAGCAATAGTATTTACAATTAACAAGGGACTGACTGGGGAAATTATACGCGACTCCGAAATGATGAGTGCCAATTTCTAATATTGGAAAGCAGATTGTGACTAAAGGATCAAGATGGCAAGCTACCTGTTGTAGTAATGGGTAGAAACTATAAGTAATGTTAATAATAATAAATAAAATAAAAAGGGTTGCAGTTAGTTAGTGAAAAAATGTAAGCCTTTTCAGAGCAGCATAAAAAATGTGCACTTGACTTGAGTTTCGGGGGGGGGGGGGGGGGGGGGGTTACTAAGCTTACATATGGAATTGTTTTAAGATGGTCATAGCAAGGATTTTGGGCTTATTGCATTAAGCCAATAGAAACGCATTTAATAACAGATTCATACATGGAAAAACAGATAGTAAAAAAATAAGATATTATAAAAAGGAAGATTGTTTTGAAGTGTCTGAGATATAAGATCAGGAAGCGATTTAATAATTTATTTTACACATATTTCACCAAAAACATGTTGCTACTAAACTACTTCCATATACAGTTGAAGTCGGAAGTTTACATACACCTTAGCCAAATACATTTAAACTCAGTTTTTCACAATTCCTGACATTTAATCCTTGTAAAAATTCCCTGTCTTAGTTAGGATCACCACTTTATTTTAAGAATGTGAAATGTCAGAATAATAGTAGAGAGAATGATTTATTTCAGCTTTTCCATCTTTCATCACATTCCCAGTGGGTCAGAAGTTTACACACACTCAATTAGTATTTGGTAGCATTGCCTTTAAATTGTTTAACTTGAGTCAAACATTTCGGGTAGCCTTCCACAAGCTTCCCACAATATATTTTGCCCATTCCTCCTGACAGAGCTGGTGTAACTGAGTCAGGTTTGTAGGCATCCTTGCTCGCACACGCTTTTTCAGTTCTGCCCACATATTTTCTATAGGATTGAGGTCAGGGCTTTGTGATGGCCACTCCAACACTTTGACTTTGTTGTCCTTAAGCCATTTTGCCACAACTTTGGAAGTATGCTTGGGGTCATTGTCCATTTGGAAGACCCATTTGCGACCAAGCTTTAACTTCCTGACTGATGTCTTGAGATTTTGCTTCAATATATCCACATAATTTTCCTTCCTCATGATGCCATCTATTTTGTGAAGTGCCCCAGTCCCTCCTGCAGCAAAGCACCCCCACAGCATGATGCCGCCACCCCTGTGCTTCATAGTTGGGATGGTGTTCTTCGGCTTGCAAGCTCCCCCTTTCTCCTCCAAACATAACCATGGTCATTATGGCCAAACAGTTCTATTTTTGTTTGATCAGACCAGAGGACATTTCTCCAAAAAGTACGATCTTTGTCCCCATGTGCAGTTGCAAACCGTAGTCTGGCTTTTTTATGGAGGTTTTGGAGCAGTGGCTTCTTCCTTGCTGAGCGGCCTTTCAGGTTATGTCGATATAGGACTCGTTTTACTGTGGATATAGATACTTTTGTAACTGTTTCCTCCAGCATCTTCACAAAGTCCTTTGCTGTTGTTTTGGGATTGATTTGTACTTTTCGCACCAAAGTACGCTCATCTCTAGGAGACAGAACGCGTCTCCTTCCTGAGCGGTATGATGGCTGCGTGGTCCCATGGTGTTTATACTTGCGTACTATTGTTTGTACAGATGAACGTGGTACCTTTGGAAATTGCTCCCAAGGATGAACCAGATTTGTGGAGGTCTACAATTTTGTTTCTGAGGTCTTGGCTGATTTCTTTTGATTTTCCCATGATGTCAAGCAAAGAGGCACTGAGTTTGAAGGTAAGCCTTGAAATACATCCACAGGTACATCTCCAATTCATTCAAATGATGTCAATTAGCCTATCAGAAGCTTCTAAAGCCATGACATCATTTTCTGGAATTTTCCAAGCTGTTTAAAGACACAGTCAACTTAGTGTACGTAAACATCTGACCCACTGGAATTGTGATACAGTGAATTATAAGTGAAATAATCTGTCTGTAAACAATTGTTGGAAAAATTACTTGTGTCATGCACAAAGTAGATGTCCTAACCGACTTGCCAAAACTATAGTTTGTTAACAAGAAATTTGTGGAGTTGTTGAAAAACGAGTTTTAATGACTCCAACCTAAGTGTATGTAAACTTCCGATTTCAACTGTATACTTCCATTCATTTTTTAAACTGGTACCAGGTTGCCTTCAGGTGAGTCTTGTGGAGTAAAACCACCGACATGTACGTATTCCTAAATCTCATCTTTCTGTAGAGGGTCATATTCTTTTTATTAGGCCAAACCGTTCGGACGCTACGGGATGTCTCATGGTCTGACTAACACTGCTGTAGCTCAGCCACCTTCCACCACACATGCGGCAGGCCACCATTGGCGGATGCGGTGGATTGAGACAGCCCATGCAACAACATAAAAAAGACAACTATCTTAAACAGTCGGATTTTGATGGGGATTGTTTTATTATGCTAATTAGATTTCTGCGGGACCGCGGAAATTGACTCAAGAGGGTTATGTGCACATCAAGTTTTGATTCAGCCCTTAATGTTTTGAAAATATGACCTACTAGATCTTTGTGTTAATTATCAAAAAGTGTTAAATAGCTCTTTTGAAGCAGCACTCCTAAATCTGTCTGTTTTGGCTTTAAGGGCAGTTACAACAATATTCAGATACCTCAGTGACATTTGCCAAGACCAGTCTCTCAGTATACTTACACAAATGTTGGGGGCCCACTGTGGGTGGACACAGATTGACTAGTGCTGCTTTAAAGGGATACTTTGGGATTTTGGCAATGAGGCCCTTTATCTACTTTCCCAGAGTCAGATGAACTTCTGAATAAAAATGTTATGCATCTGTGTCCAGTATGAAGGAAGTTAGAGATAGCATTAGCGCAGATCCCCATAGACTTCCAGTGTGTGTCCACTCACCTGTTGTCTGTTGTTGGGGGTATAGGGGAGCAGTGTGGACACGTGGAACATCAGCTCAAAGTCTTTGTAAGTAGTGTAGAGAGAATGTGTTCCAGTGGAATCCGCTGTAACACCCAAACAAAGAATTTAGGTCAGAGCAGCTCAGAGAGAGACATTCTAAACAATAGAATTGAAAAGAATGTAATACTGTAGTCTCTGAAAAACAATACCAAATTACATGATCTGCAATAAGATCATTGTACACTGCACTAATAATCCTGTGGTATTGGCAGGGACGAACTGGGACCAGAAATGGGTATTTCTAACATTTGTTTCATTGAGGCCCCCATTATGAGTGAAATAATGATAATACTGCGCAAATAGGAATGTATAATATTTTTTTTTACAAATGTACACAGGCCCACTGGGCTTAAGACAGACCAGCCAATCTTGCATTTGCCCTATGGCCTGTCTGTTTCTGGGTATTTCAAAATGTCACGTTCTCTTTCCCTAGAGCTCGGAAATGATACTGGCCCTCGTTCCTGTATAGGTGGCTTTATATGAACGCTGGGCAGATTGCGTGTTATGTCCAGGAATCAGGATTGACAGACGGTCACAGCTTTAAGATGCCCTAAAATCTATATTCCTGTAACTGAATTTCAGACCTCCAGAATAGTCCATTAATCAAAAAACAGTGATCTGAATGCTTTTCCCAAGAGCTTTACACAAGACACTGCAAAGCAAATAGAACCAACAGGGTACACATGACAATTCATTTATAGAGAGTGTTGCTATGGTCTAGATAGAAAGACCCACCCGGGTATATCCACAGACACCAAGTCAAATCAAGCTTTATTTATACAGATCATTTCAGACATGGAATGCAACGCAATGTGCTTCACAGGAAAAAACTAATAAAAAACAAGGAAAATAAAAGCTGAAATATTTACTACACAACAAACAGAAGAATAAAAACTAAAGAGTGACAAAAACTGAATGATTAAAAAGCACCCTAAGGAAAAGCAAAGCTAAAAATATTAGTTTTAAGATCTCTTAAATATGTCCACAGTTTCGGCCCCCCTCAGGTTCTCTGGTAGGCTATTCCAGAGGCTGGGGGCATAATAACTAAAGACTGCCTCTCCACCAAGCAGAGTGGGGAATTTAACTGAGGAGTGCATGGAGTGCATGCGACCAGCCCATCTTGCATTTGCCTGAACTGCCCTATGTTTCTGGGTATTTCTAAATTCCTGTACTTTAGCAGAGATAAATATAGATCTCTATATACAGTGGGGGAAAAAGTATTTAGTCAGCCACCAATTGTGCAAGTTCTCCCACTTAAAAAGATGAGAGAGGCCTGTAATTTTCATCATAGGTACACGTCAACTATGACAGACAAAATGAGAAAACAAATCCAGAAAATCACATTGTAGGATTTTTAATGAATCTATTTGCAAATTATGGTGGAAAATAAGTATTTGGTCAATAACAAAAGTTTCTCAATACTTTGTTATATACCCTTTGTTGGCAATGACACAGGTCAAATGTTTTCTGTAAGTCTTCAAAAGATTTTCACACACTGTTGCTGGTATTTTGGCCCATTCCTCCATGCAGATCTCCTCTAGAGCAGTGATGTTTTGGGGCTGTCGCTGGGCAACACAGACTTTCAACTCCCTCCAAAGATTTTCTATGGGGTTGAGATCTGGAGACTGGCTAGGCCACTCCAGGACCTTGAAATGCTTCTTACGAAGCCACTCCTTCATTGCCCGGGCGGTGTGTTTGGGATCATTGTCATGCTGAAAGACCCAGCCACGTTTCATCTTCAATGCCCTTGCTGATGGAAGGAGGTTTTCACTCAAAATCTCACGATACATGGCTCCATTCATTCTTTCCTTTACACGGATCAGTCGTCCTGGTCCCTTTGCAGAAAAACAGCCCCAAAGCATGATGTTTCCACCCCCATGCTTGACAGTAGGTATGGTGTTCTTTGGATGCAACTCAGCATTCTTTGTCCTCCAAACACGACGAGTTGAGTTTTTACCAAAAAGTTATATTTTGGTTTCATCTGACCATATGACATTCTCCCAATCCTCTTCTGGATCATCCAAATGCACTCTAGCAAACCTCAGACTGGCCTGGACATGTACTGGCTTAAGCAGGGGGACACGTCTGGCACTGCAGGATTTGAATCCCTGGCGGCGTAGTGTGTTACTGATGGTAGGCTTTGTTACTTTGGTCCCAGCTCTCTGCAGGTCATTCACTAGGTCCCCCCATGTGGTTCTGGGATTTTTGCTCACCGTTCTTGTGATCATTTTGACCCTACGGGGTGAGATCTTGTGTGGAGCCCCAGATCGAGGGAGATTATCAGTGGTCTTGTATGTCTTCCATTTCCTAATAATTGCTCCCACAGTTGATTTCTTCAAACCAAGCTGCTTACCTATTGCAGATTCAGTCTTCCCAGCCTGGTGCAGGTCTACAATTTTGTTTCTGGTGTCCTTTGACAGCTCTTTGGTCTTGGCCATAGTGGAGTTTGGAGTGTGACTGTTTGAGGTTGTGGACAGGTGTCTTTTATACGGATAACAAGTTCAAACAGGTGCCATTATTACAGGTAACGAGTGGAGGACAGAGGAGCCTCTTAAAGAAGAAGTTACAGGTCTGTGAGAGCCAGAAATCTTGCTTGTTTGTAGGTGACCAAATACTTATTTTCCACCATAATTTGCAAATAAATTCATTAAAAATCCTACAATGTGATTTTCTGGATGTTTTTTTCTCATTTTGTCTGTCATAGTTGACGTGTACCTATGATGGAAATTACAGGCCTCTCTCATCTTTTTAAGGGGGAGAACTTGCACAATTGGTGGCTGACTAAATACTTTTTCCCCCCACTGTATCTATATTAATATACACTGAACAAAAATGTAAATGCAACATGAAACATGGGACCAACACTTTACATGAGCTGAAACAAAAAATCCCAGACATTTTCCAAACGCACAAAAAGCTTATTTCTCTCAAATGTTGTGGACAAATTTGTTTATATCCCTGTTAGTGAGCATTTCTCCTTTGCCAAAATAATCCATCCACCTGACAGGTGTGGCATATCAAGGAGCTGATTAAACAGCATGATAATTACACAGGTGCAGCTTATACTGGGGACAATAAAAGGTCACTCTAAAATGTGCAGTTTTGTCACACAACGCCACAGATGTCTCAAGTTTTGAGGGAGCGTGCAATTGGCATGTTGACTGCAGGAATGTCCACCAGAGCTGTTGCCAGATAATTGAATGTTCATTTCACTACCATAAACTGCCTCCAAAGTCGTTTTAGAGAATTTGGCAGTACGTTCAACAGGCCTCACAACCGCAGACCACGTGAAACCACGCCAGGCCAGGACCTCCACATCCGGCTTCTTCACCTGCGGGATCATCTGGCTGGGCCTGGCTGCCCAGTGGGTGGGCCTATGCCCACCCATGGCTGCACCCCTGCCCAGTCATGTGAAATCCATAGATTAGGGACTAATGAATTTATTTCAATTGACTGATTTCTTTATATGAACTGTAACTCAGTAAAATCTTTGAAATTTTTGCCTGTCTGTATATACAGTGGGGAGAACAAGTATTTGATACACTGCCGATTTTGCAGGTTTTCCTACTTACAAAGCATGTAGAGGTCTGTAATTTTTATCATAGGTACACTTCAACTGTGAGAGACGGAATCTAAAACAAAAATCCAGAAAATCACATTGTATCATTTTTAAGTAATTAATTTGCATTTTATTGCATGACATAAGTATTTGATCACCTACCAACCAGTAAGAATTCTGGCTCTCACAGACCTGTTAGTTATTCTTTAAGAAGCCCTCCTGTTCTCCACTCATTACCTGTATTAACTGCACCTGTTTGAACTCGTTACCTGTATAAAAGACACCTGTCCACACACTCAATCAAACAGACTCCAACCTCTCCACAATTGCCAAGACCAGAGAGCTGTGTAAGGACATCAGGGATAAAATTGTAGACCTGCACAAGGCTGGGATGGGCTACAGGACAGCAAATAGCTTGGTGAGAAGGCAACAACTGTTGGCGCAATTATTAGAAAATGGAAGAAGTTCAAGATGACGGTCAATCACCCTCGGTCTGGGGCTCCATGCAAGATCTCACCTCGTGGGGCATCAATGATCATGAGGAAGGTGAGGGATCAGCCCAGAACTACACGGCAGGACCTGGTCAATGACCTGAAGAGAGCTGGGACCACAGTCTCAAAGAAAACCATTAGTAACACACTACGCCGTCATTTACTAAAATCCTGCAGCGCACGCAAGGTCCCCTGATCAAGCCAGCGCATGTCCAGGCCCGTCTGAAGTTTGCCAATGACCATCTGGATGATCCAGAGGAGGAATGGGAAAAGGTCATGTGGTCGGATGAGACAAAAATAGAGCTTTTTGTTCTAAACTCCACTCGCCGTGTTTGGAGGAAGAAGGATGAGTACAACCCCAAGAACACCATCCCAACCGTGAAGCATGGAGGTGGAAACATCATTCTTTGGTGATGCTTTTCTGCAAAGGGGACAGAACGACTGCACCGTATTGAGGGGAGGATGGATGGGGCCATGTATCACGAGATCTATGCCAACAACCTCCTTCCCTCAGTAAGAGCATTGAAGATGGGTCGTGGCTGGGTCTTCCAGCATGACAACGACCCGAAACACACAGCCAGGGCAACTAAGGAGTGGCTCCGTAAGAAGCATGTCAAGGTCCTGGAGTGGCCTAGCCAGTCTCCAGACCTGAACCCAATAGAACATCTTTGGAGGGAGCTGAAAGTCCGTATTGCCCAGCGACAGCCCCGAAACCTGAAGGATCTGGAGAAGGTCTGTATGGAGGAGTGGGCCAAAATCCCTGCTGCAGTGTGTGCAAACCTGGTCAAGACCTACAGGAAACGTATGATCTCTGTAATTGCAAACAAAGGTTTCTGTACCAAATATTAAGTTCTGCTTTTCTGATGTATCAAATACTTATGTCATGCAATAAAATGCAAATTAATTACTTAAAAATCATACAATGTGATTTTCTGGATTTTTGTTTTAGATTCCGTCTCTCACAGTTGAAGTGTAACTATGATAAAAATTACAGACCTCTACATGCTTTGTAAGTAGGAAAATCTGCAAAATCGGCAGTGTATCAAATACTTGTTCTCCCCACTGTATGTATGGATATATGGCCCATGTGGGAATCAGTCCCATAACTCAGGTGTTGCCAGCATTAAGCAGAAGGCAACAACAGATCTGAAGTTGGCCAAACTCATACAGTACCTCCATAGACCTTGGGCATTTCTCCATATACAGTGGCTCGGTTTTTATATTAAATTATGACTTGTTTCACATACTCCAAACTTTCAAAGCGAAAGAGAAACAAAGTGTAGGAGCTGTGTGGGTTTGGGTGTGGCGGAACAGTTCTCTTTGGAAACAGGTATTGACTGATAGGAACAAACTTGGAAGGTAGTCCTTTGCTGCATTACAAAAAAACTCCAAGGCACTTATGTGTATCCTTTCTTTTTTAAATCGTATTAAGTTTGCACCGTTCAAAAAAAAATCCTGGCCATGTAATGCCATTTGAAGCATTTTTCAGTGCACAGAGAGAAATTGACTTTTTTTTATTTTTATTGTTTTGTGCAATCTACCAAATTTTTTCTAACACAGAAAAGGACCAACTTCCAAGTTTGCTCCTATCAAAAGATAAATAATTCAAAACTGCATTATTCTTCTTTTCTGTACAAGGTGATGTACTGTATGTGTCCAGCTGGGCCCTGATCAGATGATAAATCAAATGATAATAAAATATATAAACAAATGATGTGTGTGTTGAGTCGTGGACTCTTACTTTTGTTGTCCAGCTGGGCCCGGTACTTGGTGAAGCCCTTCAGCCTGACCTTCTGGCCCAGCAGCTCCATGAACTCCTCCAGGGCGGGGCTAGCACTCTCATTGTTGTACATCTCCTCTTCGGTGCTCTGGCCCGCCTGGCAGTACATAATGCCCACCTTGTGCTGGAAGCTCAACTGGAACCACAAAGAACAATAGAAGTGGGGTTATGACATGCCAATGTCTGCCCAATATCTGTTTATGCCATGCTAATGGGTGGAAGAACCTTGTAATATAGAGGTGGGTTATAACCTGCGGTTATGACCTGCCTATGTCTACCTAATGTCTGTTTATTATACGATAATAAATACATATTTTTTTTTATCTCAATTCAGATCATATAAGATACCTGGCATAACGCTTCTGAAACATTTCTCAAAATGTTTGGGCTCATTACCAAATTATAGCAGGTGCAATTTTTCATAAGACATTATTTCAGCGCAACACTGAGATGGGACATACAGTATTCAACAATGCATTCCTCCTTATCTACACTCGATTGAAATGCTCTGTAGAGTCAGAGACGGTTGCTGGCGCCGGTATACTGTGTCAAATTAGACTGAAACGCCCCTGTAAGCACTCAGGGAGGGAGGAATAAACCAAGCGTTTTACCAGCTCAGTGCATTTAATCTCCTGCTATCAATACCTATTACCTGACACCTGGTGCTGAGATAGCTAGCGCTAAGTGCGCTATCAATCTGAACAGAGGACTGGACACACAAAAGAGGAAGTAATTACAGTGTGAGTGGCCCTCAGACAACACCTAACTGTTGGTCCTGAATAATTTATTAATCTTAGAAATGCTATAGGATGTAAAGGTTTTTTTGTGTGTGGGGGAGGATTGGGGAGGTTGTGTGTGTGTGTGTGTGTGTGTGTGTGTGGGGAGGCTGTGTGTGTGTGCGCGAGACCAGGATCAGCAGACCCTTGCGAAACTCAAAGAAGGTCCTCATAACAAGACAGTGGGAGAGCCCACTGCTGACAGCTAGGCAACATGAGACGAGCGGTCAAAAGAAAAATGTATTAAATCGAGAAAAGTCTCAATTTGCTTGGCTGGTCTCTTTCCAACACTCCTAACAAAGGAAATAAAGGGGCTCGCCTCGTGGTGCCGCCACGGCAGTTGTCGTGGCAACACTGCAAAAATTCAGTGGGAGGCAAGGCCATATTGTTTTGGATTAGTAAATGATTCACACTTGAGGGGGATGGGGGAAGTACTGCTGGTAAAGCGAAGTTAGACTGCCATTGATGGTTGTCTTCACTACGTAGCTCCACGGTTGCTTACCGAGTAGTTAAAACAATAATAGCATTCCAGTCCTACTTGCAGGAGATATAACCGGTGAAAGCTCATTATGATATTATGAATATCACATCAATGAAATGTAATGTACTTAAACTTCACTGAATTAAGGAACATGGAATTGAACTTAATCGAATTGAGGAGTAAGAGATGTGACCCCTAGACATTCCTTGAGGTCAAGATTCCCCCTCCTCATCTCTTGCCAGCTTTGCTCTCCAATAGATTTACAAACCACCCGTCATGCTCCCCAAATGAAAGAGGCTTGTATGAAACTTGATCTTATCAATTCTCCGTTATTGCACCCCGATGCCATTTCTCCCCCTGCTGTTACATGCTTTAGGGATCGATCTGTCTCGATGCACGTCTCGGGTTACCCAGAAATCCAGTTACATGGCAATACCGCTTATTGTTTTTCCCCTGTCCAGAGTTGAGTGAATATTCCACGATATTGATACTAGATATCGGAGACATGGAAGCATAGAAATATAATTACTAGAATGGGAAAAGCCCCTCAGACGGTGGCAATATGATTTCTTTGCATGGCAGTCAAATGGGGAAAATAAATGTCATTAAAGTCTAGCCTCTGACTGAGTGGTGAGTTGCGTATTTCTACCATTTCCTGGTTTCCCGCTGTGCCAGACATAGCCCGAAAGGCAGTATGCTAAATCCATAAGAGCTTGATTGATGATAAGGACTCGAAAACAGCAAACTACAAATCTGGGTTTTTGCTGAATAGAGTAAAGCAATCAAAATCTGCAGTGTAATCCCTTGTTGTAAGCGGAAATACTTACTTGTGACAACAGTGACGTACAGTGGGGAAAAAAAAGTTTTTAGTCAGCCACCAATTGTGCAAGTTCTCCCACTTAAAAAGATGGTACATGTCAACTATGACAGACAAAATGAGGAAAAATAAACAGAAAATCACATTGTAGGATTTTATTTGCAAATTATGGTGGAAAATAATTATTTGGTCAATAACAAAAGTTTCTCAATACTTTGTTATATACCCTTTGTTGGCAATGACACAGGTCAAACGTTTTCTGTAAGTCTTCACAAGGTTTTCACACACTGTTGCTGGTATTTTGGCCCATTCCTCCATGCAGATCTCCTCTAGAGCAGCGATGTTTTGGGGCTGTCGCTGGGCAACACGGACTTTCAACTCCCTTCTATGGGGTTGAGATCTGGAGACTGGCTAGGCCACTCCAGGACCTTGAAATGCTTCTTACGAAGCCACTCCTTCGTTGCCCGGGCGGTGTGTTTGGGATCATTGTCATGCTGAAAGACCCAGCCACGTTTCATCTTCAATGCCCTTGCTGATGGAAGGAGGTTTTCACTCAAAATCTCACGATACATGGCCCCATTCATTCTTTCCTTTACATGGATCAGTCGTCCTGGTCCCTTTGCAGAAAAACAGCCCCAAAGCATGATGTTGCCACCCCCATTCTTCCCAGTAGGTATGGTGTTCTTTGGATGCAACTCAGCATTCGTTGTCCTCCAAACACGACGAGTTGAGTTTTTAACAAAAAGTTCTATTTTGGTTTCATCTGACATTCTCCCAATCCTCTTCTGGATCATCCAAATGCACTCTAGCAAACTTCAGACGGGCCTGGACATGTACTGGCTTAAGCAGGGGGACACGTCTGGCACTGCAGGATTTGAGTCCCTGGCGGCGTAGTGTGTTACTGATGGTAGGCTTTGTTACTTTGGTCCCAGCTCTCTGCAGGTCATTCACTAGGTCCCCCCGTGTGGTTCTGGGATTTTTGCTCACCGTTCTTGTGATCATTTTGACCCCACGGGGTGAGATCTTGCGTGGAGCCCCAGATCAAGGGAGATTATCAGTGGTCTTGTATGTCTTCCATTTCCTAATAATTGCTCCCACAGTTGATTTCTTCAAACCAAGCTGCTTACTTATTGCAGATTCAGTCTTCCCAGCCTGGTGCCGGTCTACAATTTTGTTTCTGGTGTCCTTTGACAGCTCTTTGGTCTTGGACATAGTGGAGTTTGGAGTGTGACTGTTTGAGGTTGTGGACAGGTGTCTTTTATACTGATAACAAGTTCAAACAGGTGCCATTAATACAGGTAACGAGTGGAGGACAGAGGAGCCTCTCAAAGAAGAAGTTACAGGTCTGTGAGAGCCAGAAATCTTGCTTGTTTGTAGGTGACCAAATACTTATTTTCCACCATAATTTGCAAATAAATTCATTAAAAATCCTACAATGTGATTGTCTGGATTTGTTTTCCTCAATTTGTCTGTCATAGTTGACGTGTACCTATGATGAAATTTACAGGCCTCTCTAATCTTTTTAAGTGGGAGAACTTGCACAATTGGTGGCTGACTAAATACTTTTTTCCCCCACTGTATAACATACGTGATTGTAGTAGGATGTGTCATATTGTGCGCTCTATTGCAATACAAATACCTTAGTCATTTACGAGTCACATTAAAAGGCCCAATGCAGTCAAAATCCTGTGTTTTTTTGGAGGTTGGAATAATACTGTGAAATTGTGACAATGATCATGCCCTTTTAGTGTATGAGCTATGTGAAAGGACCGCCAGAAATGTCTGAAGGTTTTTGTGGGTTGGAGTTTTGGCCTGCCTGGTTACATCACCAGGCAGTAAATGAGTTAATAGACCAAAAAGAGATTTCCAAACCTCTGTGCCAATAACATCTAGTTTTCAGTTTACTCCTCCTCACTCAGACCACTCCCAGACAGTCCTAGCAAAATTATTGCTTGAGAAATTGCTCTTTGCTAAGAAACTATTTGTTTCTTTTAGACCAGTGGCCACCAACCGGTCAATCACGATCGACTGGTCAATCTCCAAGGCATTCCTAGTCGATCACCAAACATTTGTGTAATAACCCAACAACAAGATAAACACATACAGTTGAAGTCGGAAGTTTACATACACCTTAACCAAATACATTTTAAACTCAGTTTTTCACAATTCCTGACATTTAATCCTAGTAAGAATTCTCTGTCTTAGGTCAGTTAGGATCACCACTTTATTTTAAGAATGTGAAATGTCAGAATATTAGTAGAGAGAATTATTTATTTCAGCTTTTCTTTCCTTCATCACATTCCCAGTGGGTCAGAAGTTCACACACACTCAATTAGTATTTGGTAGCATGGCCTTTAAATTGTTTAACTTGGGTCAAACGTTTCGGGTAGCCTTCCACAATCTTCCCACAATTAGTTGGGTGAATTTTGGCCCATTCCTCCTGACAGAGCTGGTGTAACTGAGTCAGGTTTGTAGGCCTCCTTGCTCGTATTTTCTATAGGACTGAGGTCAGGGCTTTGTGATGGCCACTCCAATACCTTGACTTTGTTGTACTTAAGACATTTTGGCAAAACTTTGGAAGTATGCTTGGGGTCATTGTCCATTTGGAAGACCCATTTGCGACCAAGCTTTAACTTCCTGACTGATGTCTTGAGATGTTGCTTCAATATATCCACATAATTTTCCTTCCTCATGATGCCATCTATTTTGTGAAGTGCACCAGCCCCTCCTGCAGCAAAGCACCCCCACAGCATGATGCTGCCACCCCCGTGCTTCACGGTTGGGATGGTGTTCTTCGTCTTGCAAGCACCCCCTTTTTCCTCCAAAGACAACGATGGTCATTATGGCCAAACAGTTCTATTTGTGTTTCATCAGACCAGAGGACATTTCTTCAAAAAGTACGATCTTTGTCCCCATGTGCAGTTGCAAACCGTAGTCTGGCTTTTTTATTGCGGTTTTGGAGCAGTGGCTTCTTCCTTGCTGAGCGGCCTTTCAGATTATGTCAATATAGGACTCATTTTACTGTGGATATAGATACTTTTGTACCTGTTTCCTCCAGCATCTTCACAAGGTCCTTTGCTGTTGTTCTGGGATTGATTTGCACCTTTCGCACCAAAGTACGTTCATCTCTAGGAGACAGAACGGGTCTCCTTCCTGAGCGGTATGACGGCTGCGTGGTCCCATGGTGTTTATACTTGCGTGCTATTGTTTGTACAGATGAACGTGGTACCTTCAGGCGTTTGGAAATTGTGTGTGTATGTAGTCCTGTGTAGCTCAGTTGGTAGAGCATGGCGCTTGCAACGCCAGGGTTGTGGGTTCGATTCCCACGGGGGACCAGTATGAAAATGTATGCACTCTAACTGTAAGTCGCTCTGGATAAGAGCGTCTGCTAAATGACAAACATGTAAAATGTGTTTTTTTTCAACCTTTATTTAACTAGGCAAGTCAGTTAAGAACAAATTCTTATTTACAATGACGGCCTATACCGGCCAAACCCGGACGACGCTGGGCCAATTGTGCGCCGCCCTATGGGACTACCAATCACGGCCAGTATATAGACATACATACATACACACACACTACCGGTGAAAATATATATATTTTAATTTTGAAAATGTGGAGTAGGTTTATTACCTTTTAGATTATATTTTATGCCAGCAAAATGTGAAGACAGCAAGGGGCGCGGAGACTTTCACTAGCGACTATGATCACTCACCCCCTGTTGGTCCAGCTTGAGGAGCTGCTCAGGGACCTTGGGCGAGCTGGTGGCCAGCCTGAGACACTGGATGTTCAGCTCTGGGACCACATACTCCAGCACCTCCTTCAGTGGTAGGCCCCTGGCCATGCCATGCTTGGCGGTGGAGGGCACGGCGTCCTCCAGGATGGCCCCTCGGAGAGTGGTGAGCTGGGGAGGACAGAGAGAGAGGCTGGAGGTTAGCTCGGTGTCTAGTCTTGACGGTTGAGTTGAATTTTGAGTAACAATTTATAACAACATTCATGAATAAAGTTGAAAATTATAAATAAGTATAAATTATAAATAACCCGCTAGAGTCTATTGATGCACCGGTGCATCCCCATCACAATCCGTCAGTTTAAGATAGAGATTAGTATATTTTTGCATGGGCTGCGTCTCAATCCACTGCATCGCCTACGTCACCCTTCCACATCTGCGGTGGAAAGTGACAGAGCTACAGCGTCAGACCAGGAGACATCGCGAAAAATCGGTCTTCTCATGAAAACGTCTGTAGCATCCGAAACAGTTTGTCTCTGGACTTGTCTGAAGTCGGTAACGTTGATGTACCAACGTTTGTCTGTAGTGTCCGAACCGTTTGGGCTACAAACTAATATGACCCCACTGTAGAAAGGGGAGACTAACAAACACAATGGTGTTCTCCATTTGGCTCTACGACCCTCACACATGTCACGGGACTCGTCTAAATGTAACCCATACAAATTAATGGAAGTATGGAGGTAGTTTTGTGGCAAATGAGTAAAAAAAACGAGATAAAGGACAGACACTTCAAAACCTTATTCCTTATGATAAAACATTTTATTGTCTTTTTTGCCATTTATGAATGTGTAATTCAATGCGTTTCTATGGGCTAGAGTAGTAAAGGATAATCCATTGTATGACCTTAAAACAATTCCATATGTCAGCTTAGAAGTCCACGAATGGCTTAGACTTAAGAATTAAGCACTTATAGGCATTACAATCATTACAATTCATAAGCATTTAATTACAACATTGAAAGTTATTAATAAAGTGTAAGCATTTATAAAGGCTCATTCATGAAAGTTGTTATAAAGGGTTCCCAAATTTTGTGCGGATGGCAGAATCTTTTCTGCACCCATGTTTCAAGAGCAACATGATCCAAAATAATGTTTTTAACACATTAAGTGAGTGGGAATCATCGAAGTGTTGGGCTGTCTTAAGTAATGTAGCTATGATGTTGTTATTAAAGAAGTATTCTGTTTTTGTAATGGAAAATGCATACAAATTATGAATAATATAAAGTCAACTACATCAAGAAGACAACGTAAAAGACACATTTCTGTAATATATAAGAAACGTGGGTGATATATGGAATAGTAAACTAGGATACTAGTGAAGAAAAGAGAGTGCCACCCCAAAGAGCTTCAATTTCCTGCTGCACGCAGTTAACCCAGTGAACTGGGAGAGAGAAGTTTAAGTTGCATAGGGAATTAGCTTTTAGTAAAACTAAATAGATTAGCATTAGCGTGTCATAAGAAGTGCAACCACGAACTCCCCACTTACAGTATCTCATGAGAGAACTAACATACCGTGGGATCAAACTTTCCCTTTAAGAGCTTAACTTCCATTAACTTGCCGGATTAAAAGTAGTTTAATGTCTCCTTGGTATGCTAATACAAAATGTCTGCTTATCTAGTCCACTGTGTATCATCTCAGAACAGATGTACCTTTTGGTTATGTTACGATTATCTACAGAGTTGAGGAAGCACTTGGTTTAGTTTGAATTCAATCTAGAGGTATTTTCTATTTCACACCATTTGTTGTGATATAATTAATTGATTATTCATTATGTATGAAGGTATGACAATATTCTACCACTTCAGAATTCATTTTGCCTGCTGTATGGTCAGCAACGTGAGAGTACACAGTAAGAACCTGTGTAAAGCATACATTTTAGGACACCCTCAGCCTTAAGCGACATATACCCTTTTTGATTATTTACCTCGCTGGTCCGGAAGGTGACCCGGTAGTTGTACTGTGCTCCCTCCTTTCCCTCATCCAGCTTTTCCCGGCGGATACTGACCGCCACGGGGCCCAAGTTTTCATCTGTGCCGAAGTAGTTCTGGTGATCTGAGGGTAAATGGTAAATGACAGTACAACAAACGCTAGCTGTGGTTTGGATTATGATAACATACGAAATCTTGGTTTTCCATTCAATTCACATGAAAATTAAAATGTGGTTTAGGCACTCTGGCTTACAGGTCAAAGGTAAAAACAGACATGCAACAAACCAGTTCAACTTAACATGATTGGACAATCCTTTGCATTCCTTAAACTCCATGAATAGGGCCTACACATCATAGATTATAACATTAGCAAATCCAGAAAAATTTATCAAATTCACCAAATAGATGGACCCACTGACAATGCTAACCCATAAAGAGATATGCCTAGACCTAGTGTATCAATTAATCAATGAGTAGACGGATACATTTTCATGTAGTAACGCTCCCTTTACTGATTAATTGACATGTAGGCATATGACCTTGTAGGGTTGCAAAAGACATGTAACTACAGGCTCACTTCAATAAAACCCTGCACGGACTGAAACCAGCACAGCCCAAAACCTGCACTGCAGAAAAACCATAGTCTTTGTAGTTCCATTAACTGCAATACGTGTTTCATTAAATACATCCCTAGGATGCAGCATATAACAAACATAAGTGGAAAGCAGAAAGTATTAAAAGGTGAGAGGGAGGGCGACTGTTTTTCATCACTTCCTAGACCAGGGGTGTCAAATGAATTTTTCACCGGGGGCCACATTCTGACTTTAATTAGGTCTGGCGTGCCGCACTGAAAATGTGTTCTATTTCCTCGTGTCAAAATTGGCAAGTTTTCCTGAAATGTTCGATACTCCCTGACTGTCTCGATTTTATTTGTATGATCATTACCGAGCTGGACACAGTCAAGAAACTGTGTAAATGTAGGTCCATTAACATTTCTACACAGTTGCTATTTAGTTTTAGTCATCTTAAAGTACACTATATATACACAGTGCCTTCAGAAAATATTCAGACCCTTGTACTTTTCCACATTTTGTTACAGCCTTATTCTAAAATTGATTTAAAAAAAAAAAAATCCTTATCATTCTACACAAAATACACCATATTAACAAAGCGAAAACAGGTTTAAAGAAATGTTTGCAAATTCATTAAACATTTCTAACAGAAATACCTTATTTACATGAGTATTCAGCCCCTTTGCTATGAGATACGAAATTGAGCTCAGGTGTATCCTGTTTCCATTGATCATCTTTGAGATGTTTCTACAACTTGGAGTCCACCTGTGGTAAATTCTACTGATTGGACATGATTTGGAAAGGCACACACCTGTCTATATAAAGGTCCCACAGTTGACAGTGCATGTCAGAGCAAAAACCAAGCCATGAGGTCGAAAGAATTGTCCATAGAGCTCCGAGACAGGATTGTGTCGAGGCACAGATCTGGGGAAGGGTACCAAAGCATTTCTGCAGCATTGAAGGTCCCCAAGAACACAGTGGCCTCCATCATTCTTAAATGGAAGAAGTTTGGAACCACCAAGACTCTTCCAAGAGCTGGCCGCCTGGCCAAACTGAGCAATCGGGGGAGAAGGGCCTTGGTCAGGGAGGTGACCTAGAACCCGCTGGTCACTTTGACAGAGCTCCAGAGTTGCTCTGTGGAGAGGGAAGAACCTTCCAGAAGGACAACCATCTCTGCAGCACTCACCAAATCAGGCCTTTATGGGAGAGTGGCCAGACGGAAGCCACTCCTCAGTAAAAGGCACATAACAGCCCGCTTGGAGTTTACCAAAAAGGCACCTAAAGGACTCTCAAGACCATGAGAAAGAAGATTCTCTGTTCTGATAAAACCAAGATTGAACTATTTGGCCTGAATGCCAAGCGTCACGTCTGGAGGAAACCTGGAACCATCCCTACGGTGAAGCATGGTGGTGGCCATCATTCTGTGGGGATGTTTTTCAGCGGCAGGGAATGCGAGACTAGACAGGATCGAGGGAAAGATGAACGGAGCAAAGTATAGAGAGATCCTTGATGAAAACCTGCTCCAGAGCACTCAAGACCTCAGACTGGGGCGAAGGTTCCCCTTCAAACAGGACAACGACCCTAAGCACACAGCCAAGACAACGCAGGAGTGGCTTTGGGACAAGTCTCTGAATGTCCTTGAGTGGCCCAGCCAGAGCCCAGACTTGAACCCGATCGAACATCTCTGGAGAGACCTGAAAATAGCTGTGCAGCAACGCTCCCCATCCAACCTGAGAGAACTTGAGATGATCTGCAGGGAATAATGGGAGTAACTCCCCAAATACAGGTGTGCCAAGGACTCGATGATGTAATCGCTGCCAAAAAGTGCTTCAACAAAGTACTGAGTAAAGGGTCTGAATACTTATGTAAATTATTTCATAATTCAATGAGCAGGTCATAGATTTTCAGCAATGCTCACATTTAGCTACACATGACCAGATTCAATGGTGTCTGCTAACATTGTCCATTTGTAAACAACAAAGCACATGGCAAATGAACATGAAAAACTGTCGCTCTCTTTAAGTTGCTAGAGTACTTTATAGTAAGGAAACAATTTAGTATTAGGTAGGTAGTCAATGCCTCTCTTACCTTTATTGTAAAAGTACTTGTGGTAGTAGTAGGCCCCCTGGTCGATGTGTTCGATTATGTAGCGCTTGTACATGTCCCTGTGGAAGGCCTGGCTCTCCCTTGGCACCTCGAGCACCGACACTCCTGCATTGGTGCACCGGGTGCTGAGCGATGATTCCACTGAGTAGCCTTGTCCTCCACCCCCATAGTTAGGAGCATAGTCTCCGCTCCCATAGCTGGCGCTGCTGGCTTTGCTCAGGGCCACTTTCCTCTCGCCCTCGCCACCGGTCTCGTTACGGAAGTACGGGCAGCTGAGCACCAGGGTATTGCTCTTCCCATCCCCCTCATCTGTGTCCATGCTGGCCTTGTGGCCCAGCTCCTCGCAGCTGCCTTCGGGCGACTCACAGATGGGCATGTGCGTGGCACTGTCTCCCAACCCAGAAGCCAGGGCCTGGCACTGAGAGGCGGCCGACGCCCCTGTGGTAGTGTTCTTCCTGCGACCCAGGTCGGCACGGTTGGCCACCGCCTCGCTGATGTTGAAGAGGACGCTCTGCACATCGTAGTGGGCGAAGCACTTCTGGAAGCTCAGGGGCCTTCCGAAGCGCCCTCCGTCCTCCTGGTCCAGGTACTCGCCCTCGCTCTTCACGTTCCGCAGCCTCCGGAAGATGGAGGTATCGGCCTTCTCCGCCTTCATGCGTTGGATGAAGGACCTCTCCCGCTCACGGCTGTAGAGCAGGGAGCTGTCCACATAGTCGTAGCCCGGGATGCAGACAATGTCGCCTCGCGCAATCTGGGCGGCCGTCTGTAGGCTGGGTGACAGGGTGGTGTTGAGACGCAGCAGCTCCGGGAAACTCTGTGGAGGAGGCGCACTGGGTTGGTCTGAGCGGTCCTCCACATGGTAGCCTCTCAGGTTTCCCACAAAGCCTTCGCTGGATCCGGAAAGACCCTGCTTGTCGAGAGAGGACGTGCTCCCATACTCACGGCGCAAGGTGGCTCCAGTGTTGGGGTTGATGGTGGTGTGATCCAAGTCCTCGGCGCAGATGTCGCTAATGGTGACCTCGCTGTTGCTCCTCTTGATCCCGGGGAAGCCCTTCATGGGGGAGTGGCTCAGGAGGTCGCACAGCGGATACCTGGTCTCTGGGAACTCGGCATTGAGCAACTCCTGGCTATTTTGGAGGATGGCCTCTGTGGTAAGTTTTGATGGTCCATTCTGGAAGGTCGGCACCAGGCTGTCATAGCGGGGCGGAGGCTGTGACTCCCAGCCGTCTTTTCGCTGGGGCCAGTCTGACACCCTCGCCCGGACGCCCATCTTGGGCATGGCCGGCGTTCCCTGCACGTTGGCGTTTGGAGGTCCCATGGACCCCTTTAACGCTTGGAGTTTCTTGCTGAACGGGTTGTCCGACTGCATCAAATATTTGGAGCCCTTTGGCTCGCCAGCTACTCCACCAAGATTCGCTATGTCCTCAGTCCAGAGGCAAGGCACATTCATATCCTGTGTACAGGCACCTTACAGTGCCAAATTTCATGACTGCTTTTCAATACAAGCCATTTGTTCTGGAAACTGCTATCAGGCAGTATTAGCCAAAGACCCAAATCTGGGGTTTCACTTCGCCAGGTCCATAATCCATAGAAAGGGATTAGATTGACAGATCTGCTTGGGTCTCTGAAGGACAGTGCAGCATAGAAGGTGAAGATCCTTTCCTGGTCCACATCAAGCCAATGACAGCCACATGGTGATCCTTTGTGGATTCAGATCTTTAAAGTGAGACATAACAACATGGTTATTTTATTAAATTATAACATCAAAATAAAAACAGATTTAAAATTGCATTTCACCTTCAATTTGTGCAAAGGCCTAAACATAATGAAAATCAAATCGTCATAGCTATTTCGGTTTAATCAATCTGACCAAAGGCCTTCGAACAATGTCCATTCACCAATATAAGAACAAAAGCCACCAGTATTGCTTTGATGGGGTTTTCGGCAGCTTTTAACACATTGGGAATGATGTGGCTGAAAGATTAAAAGGCCTTTTCAAGTTCAAAGGCTCATTTGCAATAATTCAAAATTAATTATTTCATGGCTCTAGGTGCTGCAAGCTACATGCCTGTAAATGTCACACAACCTTGTTGAATTAGAAAGATTTATCTGATCTGTATTAATGTAACATGACACATAGCCTACGGAAAAAAAAAATAAACAAACATGGCATGCATTGAGTGAACACTTTTCTTCTTAAACTCACAATTAATGCCTTCTAGGTCTTAGAGCAGTAATAATGTAATATGAATCATCCTACCACTCTCAAAGTAAACTATTTATCACACTGCCTCTGGACTTTTTATTTTATTTTTTATTTCACCTTTATTTAACCAGGTAAGCCAGTTGAGAACAAGTTCTCATTTACAACTGCGACCTGGCCAAGATAAAGCAAAGCAGTGCGATAAAAACAACAACACAGAGTTACATATGGGGTAAACAAAACATAAAGTCAAAAATACAACAGAAAATATATATACAGTGTGTGCAAATGTAGCAAGTTATGGAGGTAAGGCAATAAATAGGCTATAGTGCAAAATAATTACAATTAGTATTAACACCGGAATGTGCAAATAGAGATACTGGGGTACAAATGAGCAAAATAAATAACAATATAGGGATGAGGTAGTTGGGCGGGCTAATTTCAGATGGGCTGTGTACAGGTGCAGTGATCGGTAAGGTGCTCTGACAACTGATGCTTAAAGTTAGTGAGGGAGATAAGTATCTCCAGCTTCAGAGATTTTTGCAATTTGTTCCAGTCATTGGCACCAGAGAACTGGAAGGAATGGCGGCCAAAGGAGGTGTTGGCTTTGGGGATGACCAGTGAGATATACCTGCTGGAGCGCATACGACTTGAGTCATTTACATTTCTAAATTGAGGAGGGCAGGATTTCAGAAAACAGCATAAAACTACCAACATAATCAGTATTTGGTTAGTCATCTTGGAATGTGATTAAATGTGTGAACATGTGACCAACATTTCAACCTTCCTGATAAGTACTGTATGTATTTGAAAGTGATACTAATTAGGCAGCTTCATTAAATAGTACCTGCAAAACACCAATCTCAACGTCAACAGTGAAGGGGCGACTCTCTAGGCAGAGTTTGAAAGAAAAAGTCCAGTGTCTGTGATCTTTTGCCCATCTTAATCTTTTCTTTTTATTGGCCAGTCTGAGATACGGCTTTTTCTTTGTAACTCTTCCTAGGTCAGCATCCCGGAGTCGCCTCTTCACTGTTGATGTTGAGACTGGTGTTTTGCGGGTACAATTTAATGAAGCTGCCAGTTGAGGACCTGTGAGGCGTCTGTTTCTCAAACTAGACACTAATGTATTTGTCCTCTTGCTCAGTTGTGCACCGGGGCCTCCCACTCCTCTTTCTATTCTGGTTAGAGCCAGTTTGCGCTGTTCTGTGAAGGGAGTAGTACACATTGTTGTATGAGATCTTCAGTTTCTTGGCTATTTCTCACATGGAATAGCCTTAATTTCTCAGAACAAGAATAGGCTGACGAGTTTCAGAAGAAAGTTATTTGTTTCTGGCCATTTTGAGCCTGTAATCGAACCCACAATTGGTCTAGTCTCAAGAAGGCCCGTTTTATTGCTTCTTTATATCAGCACAACAGTTTTCAGCTGTGCAAACATAATTGCAAAAGAGTTTTCTAATGATCAATTAGCCTTTTAAAATGATAAACTTGGATTAGCAAACACAACGTTCCATTGGAACACAGGACTGATGGTTGCTGATAATGGGCCTCTGTACGCCTATGTAGATATTCCATTAAAAATCAGCCGTTTCCAGCTACAATAGCCATTTACAACATTAACAATGTCTACACTGTATTTCTGATCAATTTGATGTTATTTTAATGGACAAAAAAATTGCTTTTCTTTCGAAATCAAGGACATTTCTAAGTGACCCCAAACTTTTGAACGGTAGTGTATATCCATACCTGATTTTAATATCCTTCATTCACCATTTCCTATAGTAAACATCAACAGATTTAACACTGGGGGTATTTTCATATCATGTTGGAAAATACCAGTCTGAATACAGCCCAAATGGCACCCTATTCCCTACATAGTCCCTGCTCAAAAGCAGTCCATGATCTTTAGATAGACCCCAATACTTTGACCAGACAGAAAACAGATGCTGTTTAAAACAAGCATTTAGCATTCATAACATTAAGGTGTAAAGGTTATTTGCAATTACTACAGAGGCAGCCGTGCTATGATTGGACACAGCACACTGAGGAGGCCCCTACTCCATTATTAAAAACACCCAAATAAAGTGAGGAAGAGATGGAATATGAGAAAAGAGCCCTCATTAAATGCATGGTCTTGATGTCAGACCGCTTGAGAGCAAACAGATCATGAAAGCGTGAGATGAAAACAGCTTGTGACATATCCTTTTTTCCCCTTCAGTACTCGTCATGAATCTTCTGAAAGGTTCCTGCCTCTGCAAAAGAGGACAACTTTGGTTCTAAGGCTTGAGTCAGTTTTCTGATCTACAAAGTCGAATCACGTGGATTCGGTTAAGAACTACAATTTCATACTGCTTTACATATCAGTATGTATACTTCCTATTGGCAATCAAGGGTCTGACTGATGCTGGAGTTAGGACAAGCTAAAGTATGATGGTGCACTGCATCGGACGCTTGATTGTAATATGTCTCAAATGTAAAAAATTAAAAAAACGTACATACAGCACTAAATTAAAGCATTATGTTATGGAGAGACCGACACAATTGCAATACAAACACATAGTAATTATCAAGAGTTGCACAAACATTGGATTCAAGCATCAGTCAGTCCCTAGATGGGCTTTAAAATAAGACCATCTAAAAAGGGGGAAAGAAAAAACTAAACAGACAAATTGTCACAAATGAACAGATGACACCGTCCAAACGTCAGCCTGAATGTCGGCTACAGTCTCGCCACTGCTGGTTAATGACAGAACCGATGTGTGCTACAGTTGTTTCCACGAACCAGCGGGGCACACAGAGCTGGTCGCTCACCCAAACATAACGGTAATCAATGAGGGAACAGCGCAAATGTTAGGGTAGTGACATGGTCTGGGAGCAACATTTGGCTGGGAGGCAGGGTAGTGTTGTTTTGGTTGAAAGCTATAGAATGGACACTCCGTGTACCCTGACAGGGGTACAGTGAAGTGGATTGCAGTACTGGATATTGGATTCTGTGATTTGGGAGAGTTTGAGATTAATGGTGTGTGGCATCTAGAAATGAGCCAGGCCTAACTCATTGCTGGCAGCAGAGGTTTGTACTTGTTATGTCTGTCTGTGTGGCTCAAATCAATTTCACATACTGTTACACTGAACTATAGATTTATATGTGATCTGGACATTGTACTTGAGCTATATTCCTATGCGATGAAGCTATTATTTGCAGTACTACAGTTCTTCAGTGACATTTTGGAAATGCTCATGCAGTCTCTTTATCATCCGACTTCATTAACCAGGGGAACGAGCTCACTGGCGCAAGTGGCGATGTCCTTTGGGAACATTGGGTGCAGATTAGGAAAAGCAGACAGACGGACCTCCACTGAGGTATGATGAGGCAAAAACAATGACAGAGAAAGGAGGTCAGTGAGCAGTGGAAGCTGACGCTGTCCAGTTCCAAAATCCCCAGAGACAGACAGACAACGCCATCATTCCTTTGTTCCACTTTTACATATCCACTTTTTTGATGTCATCCATTAGAATGAGTTCCAATTTAGAAAGATAAAATGTTCCAACCAAACAATGTCATCTGTACTGCACCTACCTGCCTGTGTAGCCTATTACTAAGGTCTCACGCCACTCCTCTCTATGAATTCAGCCCTCATGGTAAATAAAGATAACTTATATATTTATTTTGAGTGGGTTATTTGATTGGCTGTTTAATTTAAAAGGGCTGGACAAAAATGGTTCAATGAGAGGAACAATGTGAGCTTTTCCTTTACCATTACACAAAGTATTAAAGAAAGTAAAACATACTGTATGTGTTTTTTTGGGGGGGAGTGGAGACTATAAATTGAGATTCAGATTCACACAGAGGGATTGACCGCAATAGCAATATGCCTTGAAGCCTTCGAATCAAAATGCGCTCACGTGTCTCCAGCGGCTGACTGGGCCCGTATCCAAAACAGGGGGCAAGAAAACAAGGGCATCGAGCTTCCAACACCGTACATGGGTGCATCCCGTTAACTGGCAACCCACCCTTGCACTTGCATACCCTCACACATCAATAAGACAGAGCTAAGCTAGCGGGGTCCCCATCCATCTTCCCACTGCTTTGCCTTGTTAGGTGCACTAGCCTAAGAGCCCAGGCATACTCCCAGCTGTAGGCTCTAATGCCTTCCATTCCAGGGGGAGTTTCTACAAGGATTTATTCCAAGTGGAGGCAGGTAGGGTGGGGTGAGGGGCGTACAGACGGGGATCAGTTCACATACACATTCCAGTGCGGTCCTCCGCCATGCACTCCACCGCGACATGCATGCGTGTGTTTGATTTTGATTCCCGAAGCAGAGCCAAATCAGTATGTGTTTACTTTAAGATGACTACTCCCTCAAGAAGGCAGGCTGGTTGGGGGGTTGGCCGTCCGTCGAGAAGACTGTTTAGTTGTGGGTCTGTAGCTAGTGATGAGGGTCAGTGGTAGTAGTAGGTGGGCCAAATGAAGGTATGGAGCAAGGCCATAAATAAACAAAAAGAGAGGAAATGCAGAACATCAAGGAAGTGAACGCAAATACTGGGATGGCTCTGCAGGGGCTAAATGAAAGACGGACCCCTGGGAAGGTTCCGGGGGGGGGGCACATATGGGTGGGTTGTGGGGAGGATAGTGCATCTGGACATTAACATTGGTTTTGTTATTGTTG